CTGAAATAATGTGTGGCTTGCTAGTCTTATTCAAACATTATCTTCAGTCTTATCCTCAGTTGAGTGAGTGAGTCATATCATGGCGTGTCAGCTTAATGTGGGAGGAAAACCCAAAGTAATGCAGGTTGTCAAGATTTACCACTTCAATGAAATCCATGAGCACAGGTATGGTGCTGACAAATCTAGAAACATAATCGGGGTGAACCGCGATTCGAACCCACAACCATAGGTTTCTGGCTTGCCCAAGGGCCGCAACTCTGCACAGCGAATTGTGGCGCCTAAAATGATTGGGCCACCCGTGCCCCCTGACATCAGTTGAGTCTTCTGGTCTTAATGATGCCTAAGCTTGGTAATGGTTTGGCCAAAATGAGCAGGCATCATTACTCATCCTCTAAATGTTGTGATGGATATAGATTGTGATGAAGTAGCTTAGTTTCTCAACAGCCTTGAGTAAAACAATGATATGACATAGTTCATGTAAGCTGTACCGCATATTGACTCTAGCTTTCTTGTGCATTTAAGGCGAATCAGTCTGATGTCTTTCAAGTCCCCATTCATAGCATCATCTGTATGTTCTGTATTTAGCCGAAGAGGGTGTCCGATTTCTTTAAAAATCAATTCTGAGTTTTGGAAATGTCCTGACTCTGTCTGTGATCGGATTGGACCTAGATATGTGTTGATCAGGATTTGAATGGATGGGACATGTGAACGTCATTCTCTTTTCACTGGAGCAAATAATTTGTTTGGTGCTGGGGCTCAGATCTCAATCACACTGGCTGTGTGAAGAAAGAGTTCCTTGTTGTGAAGTGTTATTAGTTGCAGGAGACTGATCACTTCTTTTCAACGGAGGAAAGTATTCCGATATCTCATTTCTTCAGCACCTTCAAGGAATGGGGAGTTTCACGGATCCGCTGGCTCATCACATTGGACGCCACAATCTCACTGTGTGTTTTCAAGCAGTTTTTTGGGTGGAACAGATAACTTCATAATGTGAGATGTGGATTGGATTAATCGATGCTCAAATTTCCGAAAACTAGGTACAGCTTCTGATTGGTTTGAATGCCTCTTGGTCATGTGACCCATTACCTGGAAAAATGATGGGTTAGGAAACATGGTATAGCCAGTATTGCTTCGAAATGGAGTGTTATTATTTTGTTCAGAGTTCAGTGACCCTGGTTGCTGGTAATAAGAAGCACCATCTAGGTTTACAAAATTGCCAGAATTGTAAAAAACATGTTTATTGAGCTCCTCGAGCCATTACGACCATTCAGGCCCAGTTTGTGATTCAGGGATTTATCTGGGCATGATCAAAGGACGATATTCTACGTCAAGTCTGCAGCAATTGTCATTCAGATTTCCTAAATTGGAATGAAAAAGGTCTCAGTTCATGTTAATACATATTAATAATACCTTGTTTGGCCTTGTTAACTAATTTTAAGGCTTTGTAGAGATTTTTTCACTGATAACAGGACCAGTAAGTAGGACGAGTTTTTACATACTTAGTTTTATATTATTGCATTGAACACACTCGCAAAGTAAAGTGTTAAAATTTCTCTAAAATTTAAGAGATTCAGAGCTTTAATAATGTCTAAATTTTGGGAAAAATAACAAATATTTTTTTCCCTGATTAGGCTACCAGGAGCACTTAGTTTAGAATCTAGGCTGAAACCCTGGATATCCATTTGGTGGATTAGAAAATGTAAATAAAACATGATCTGGTTTCCGTAAATGTGTAAACCAAGAAATAAACAAAGCGTGGCCTCACTTGTAATTTCCCCATTGAGTAGGTGCGCGGTTGTAAAATCATCACAGCATTGACACTAAATGGTATTGATCGGCATATTGGTTTGCATGAAACAAAATCATTTGGCCTGTCTGCTTTATCCAGCATTCATCTGTGCTGTAGGATTGCCACACGGAACAGTCACGTGAACACTGCCTCAACAAGTACTTGATATTGGCATGAAATTGACACATTTTCTGCTACATTTCAAGAAGAAGTGAAAATAAGGAAACCCTTCCATCAGTGGTCTCCCAGGGAACCTTTCCACAAAGCAATCATAGCGCTATGACTGTCGTAAGTCTATGTAAAGGTATGAGAGTTACGATCACCTTAGCACTCTGACTGTCGTAAGTCTATGTTAAGGTATGGGAGTTACGATCACCTTAGCACTATGAATGTCGTAAGTCTGTGGGAGGTACGATCACCTTAGCGCTATGACTGTCGTAAATCTGTGGGATTTATGATCACCTTAGCTCTCGGACTGTCGTAAGTCTGTGGGAGTTACGATCACCTTAGCGCTACGTCTGTCATAAGTCTATGTCAAAGTATGGGAGTTACGATCTCCTTAGCGCTACAACTGTCATAAGTCTGTGTCAAGGTATGGGAGTTACGATCACCTTAGCGCTACGACTGTCACAAGTCTATGTCAAGGTATGGGAGTCATGATCACCTGAGCACTACGACTGTCATAAGTCTGTGTTAAAGAATGGGATTTATGATCGCCTTAGCGCTATGACTGTCGTAAGTCAGTGTTGCATTATTGGAGTTATGATCACCTTAGCACTGCGATTGCTTTGTGGAATGGTACCTGGTATCCAACAAGAAATTTGGACATGAATGCCTCGGAAACAAGGATTCTTGTGTTGATTTCCTACACTTCGCAGGTCAATATCACTGATTGAAGAATTATATAGTTCAAATGCTTCAAGTGAAATCAGTGAAAAAGAATATTTTTGTAACCTAAGAACCTGAAATACACACTTCTCAATTGACTGCTTTTTTAAAATCTGGTATTTGTATACATATTACGGGAAAAGATATTTTTAGTTTCCTTCTAAAGCAACAATAATAACTTTAACTCATTGGAAACGAAGGATGGAAGCTGAATTCTTTGGATTCCACTGATCAACTTCTCCTTGATGGATTAGATTAATGAGAAAAAGACTTGTGTTGCAGAAACAGGCCAAAACTGAGGCTTCAATTAGATGGTTGATAATTAAATGTCATGTTGCAAATCTTGATTTTATTTGCATTGACACAATTCCTGAAAAAAAACCCATAAAACACTACTTTCTGAGTTTCAACACTGGTTTTGCCATTCTGAGCCTAAATTCTCTTCCTGAATGATGTGGGATAGAAATTAGAATTGAACATATTGGCTGTTTATTAGTTTACTTACTCAGAGATCATTTTACCATAAGCACATACCATAAGCACATACTTGGCTTTTGGCTAGAGTGAGTGAATGTTGTTTTATGCCACAGTATGCAATATCCTAGTTACATCGTGACAGTCTGTAAATATTCTATATAATGACACACTATCGAATAATACACACAATGTGACGACCCAATCCTCATTTGTTATCCCCCGCAACACGTTTTGCAAGGGGTATTGAAATAGACCCCGTCAGTCCATCCGTCTCTCTGTAAATGCAAGATGTCATTTCCGAGTATGAACTCATTAAGCAATACCGTAATCAATACCCTTATGCTTAGTTGGCTTCATGTCCCATTGGTTTCTACCTGTCCATCATGTTGTGACAGTATCATCCTTCTGTTGTCATTACCCACTCATGTTATCCCATTGATGTATGCTATTGTTGTTGCTGTTAATCCTCCACCTACTACATGTATATATATTCTGTACAATGTTCCTCATTCAGTCTTGCTTGACAATGGTATAAGGATCTATAGCAAATGTCACCTTTACAGTATCAAAGAAGTTGTTATCCATAAATTGTGTCATCCGTCAACACTTAAGTAATGCCTATCAAACAATTCACCTTGACTTGGGCTGGACATTGGGGTAGTGCTCGTTTCCGGATCAGATCTTGAAAAACGTACAATTTTTCTTCCCCAATCTTCGACGGATTATGCACAGGCTGTCGTGAAATAAGCTGGAATGTGGCTGAGTGTGGCATTAATCAACAAACATATATGTCTGGTGCTCGGAGATCAACAGTCAAATGCACAACTCACTGTGAAGAGTTATTTCCCTTGGACATGCCAGGATTGGCTTCCATTACCAGTACTTGTTCATGTATCACCATAATCACCATGAGTGTAATGTATTATTCAGGGAGTTTTGAGAATATACTGTAAGTTGTTTTTTTAGTTTTTCTCTTTATTCTTCTCAGTTTTATTCTTTTATCAATGAAGATCATTCGAATGACTTTGGATTTTAGATGTAACTACAAAACCTCATGACTCGTGTTGTGTGGCACATGTTGATAAGGTTATCTTGCAGTCAAGGACCATATGCCTAGATGTATGGTGCTAGGATGCAGTGTATCACAAGTGTTGGGTTACGGCAACACAGGGCTTGTCACCTGATACACTGTTGCCAGGTTACCCAAGTAATGCATCTAAGGAGGGGGCTACAATAGGATCCTCATGTTTCTTATCTCATTTTGAAGAGTTTCCAATGAATCCGAGGGTAAATGATATTTAAGATTAGATCTTTTTGTGTCAGTATGGGATGTGATCGAGCTAGGAGAACCAGCTGTTGATAGTTGCTGATGTCTCTATGTCAACCTTGACTTATTCATGGTGATCCCCGATGATAAACGGTTCATGTACTATCTACACTCTGCAGACATTTGGCCAGTTTCATCGTTTATTTGTTGTTTTCTGCCACACATAGCAATATTCTAGCTAAATGAGAGCAGGCTGTAAATAATCGAGTCTGTGACGGACAAGCAAGTGGGTGATACTATGAGCAACAGCTGTTGAGGTATGGTGACGTGCAATCAACCAAGACAACAAGTCGGCCTACTTGATTCCATTTAGTCTACCTTTTACGATATGAGTGGTTGGGCCCAATGAGGCAGTGATTGTGCCCGTGTATCAGACATGACTGATTGTTGGTACAAGTTGTTTATGTCATCAGACATGCTAGGTGTAACAGCCCTGACTCGAGTGTTGTAACTATATGCCCAAATGGCGGCTTCATGTTTGTTCACAGCATGCTAAGCCTTTTTCTTTGTCTGTTCCAGGTTTACAATATCTATATGGCCGGTCGCCACTTGTGCTCCCGCAGATACCGGGAATACGATGCCCTTCATCAGAACCTTAAGAGAGAATTTCCAGACTTCAACTTCCCCAAACTCCCTGGCAAAAAGATTTTCCATTTGTCAGAACAGCAGCTTGACCAAAGACGCCGTGGACTTGAACAATACTTGGAGAAAGGTGTGCAGGACATGATGTGTCTTCTGTGCAATAAATACTGTTCATGAATATCGAGAATCAAGTACATTTTTATGATCCTTGTCTTTAATGACTGCATGTTTTGCAAAACATTTGTGTAGGGTCCTTGTTAAATGTGCCCCCACTCACCAGTTGAGTGAAATATGTTGATTTCTTTATGATTTTTTTTGCGTATTTGCTCAAAGATACTTCTCTGATATTAGTTTTATCGATAATTCATCGATATTTAGTTAACTATTATTGGTCTCTATTATCTGTTTTGATAGCCTGCCCTACAACAAACAAACAAAGTCATCTTCCTGGTGAACTGAATGTGTTGTGTTTCAGTGTGTGCAGTACGGGTCATTGGAGAGAGTGAGATCATGCAGGAGTTCCTGTCGGCCGATGGAGGGGAGTCGGTACGTATCATCCAGCTGTAGTTTGCCGTATCTCACAAATACAACTAACTGATGCTTCTCTGCTCTTATTGGCGTAAGAGTTGTTCAAGAAAACTCCTGCAATCAGTACACTGCCCTGGTATAATGGGGCTTTGGCAGGTAATTTGTCTCATCAATAACGGTTTGGCTGATGTCACCTTGTATGGCAATGATTATATGACAGTGATAATGACTTGTGCCTGGATGTATTTCCATGCTTAGAATAGAAACATGGATGATTAAGATAGCAGAACAGCTAAATCAATGTCTTATCATATTTTATCTTTTGTTTGGTCAGTATATATGACAAGATAAACCTAAGTAGGTCATTATGAGCAGATTGCAAGCAATTGTATTTTAATGGAAGATGAAGTTTAAGAAAACGCAGACTTTTCTATCTTCTTTGATGAAAGATTAATTTATTGTGGGTTTGAATCCCCGATGAGCCATGATAATGGCTTTTGATTTGCCAGCACCATATCCCCAATCCTTTCATTAAAGAGAAAATGTCCTGCATCATTGAATAACGTGTGTGGTATTATTTCTGAAATACTGTTTGAATCAGCATAATTAAACAAACTTATTCTTTATTGAGGACAACTTCAGACAGTGTGTAAAATGTTTTTGACATAAATGCCGGTATGCAAAGTGTTTCCAAGAAGAATAACATATCCCTCAACGTTTAATCGTTGAATGGTCGCCATGTGTAATTCTACAGTCTGTGACTTTAGCCACCAGTCTTTAGCCTCAGTCTAGTAAAAAGAAGTTCATTACATCCATACAATAGCACTAGGATCCACGGAAAATGATGTCAAATGACGTCAAATGACAGGTGCAGGCTAGTAGCAGTCTGTGACTTTAACCACAAGTCCAAAGGCCAAATCTGGTAAAATTATGTTCGGTCTACTAATCCTCACCTAATAATAGTCCATATGATAACACTAAAATCTAGTGAAAATGATGTTAAGAGCCTATTTAGGCTTGTAGTCTCAAAGGCTTTGGGCACAGGCTGTCGTAGACCTAAAAGTGTTTTGGCACAGACTGGTACTGTAAGATAGGATAAGTTTTGTTCCAAACTGAAAGGCCACAGGCCCATAGTACAATACTGTTTTCGGGCACTGTACCTACTACTGTCTGTGTGTGCAGGATGATGCCAACAGTGAGGTGGAGCTGAAGGTGTTGCTCCCGGACCGCAGCCTCTGTGTCGTCACCGTGCATCGGTCCGACAACGCTGATGATGTGTACCAGGTAACTGCAACAGATAGATCAGTCTGGAGACGGAGACTTTTGCTAATCACTAGCACTAAATTCTGGTCAGAATCAGTCTTGAGCACCAGGGTAACCATTGCTTTATGTTAAATGAACACAATGACTGCTAATAATGACTAGTATCCAAATGGGAGACAATTTTAACCTGGCTGTTTCTAGTTGTTGACTCATTGTACATATGAACAGGACAACATTCCTTTATCACTGCCAAGAGAATTACCTACTTTGTGTATTGTGTAAGGGAGAGAACTAAGCTGTATATTTTGTAAGGGGGATAACTTTGATGTGTTTAGTGAAAGGGAAATGACTACTGAGTTGTGTATTATGTAAGGGAGATAACTTTGGCGTAAGGGCAATAACTGAGTTTTATATTGGTTGATGGAGCGAGCTTTGTTGTATACCGTGTAAGGGAGAGAACTGTGTTGTGTAAAGTGAAAGGGAAATAACTGGGTTGTAACTGAGTGTAAGGGAGAGAACTGTGTTATGTTCTGCAGGCGGTGGTAGACAAGCTGCAGCTGGAAGAGAATGTAGCAGCCTGCTTCTACCTTTTTGAAACCGTGGAATACAACTTTGGTGAGTATTTTAACATTGTCATCATCTCATGGATCAAGCAGGGCTAGTGTAGGTGGGTTAGCCAAGTGGGTACAGTGCTCACTCTTCACTCAGAAGTTCTGGGTTTGATTCCCCATAAGGGTGCAATTTGTGATGCCATTTGTAGTATCCACACCTTTGATATTGCTGGAATATTGCTAAAACACTACTCATACACTCACCCAACCAAGACCATACACCCTTCAAAGTCACATCAGTCCGCTAACCCGAGACTACTCAATTGTGCCGGGGACTAAAACACCAATGATGGAAGTCCTCAGTGGCTAGTAGCATTTGAGGACTATACTTCTGAACCGATTCTCAATGCATCAATTCTGCTACAAATTGGAACTGAATTAATCCTCTATGTCTTCTCCAAGCAGGACTACCACCTCCGTGGTCAAGTGGTAGAGCGTCAGCCGGGAGAGCAGAAGGTCCGGGGTTCAATCCCCGGCCGCGTAATACCAAAAGACGTTAAAAGATGGTACTTGTTACCCTGTCTGGCGCTCGGCATTAAGGGGCTTAAACAAGGACTGGTCGGCTCGGAGTCAGTATACTGTGTCTGAGTGGGGTATTCTTGTTAAACTGCGGCATAACCAGTGAGCTAGCACTATAAATAGACATCAGTTCGAACTAGTACAAGCAGCCACACAAACACACACACGTACATGCACGTCGCTATATAAGTGCAATAATCTTGGACGCGACGTTAAACCCCATTTCACCTCACCACCTCCAAGCAGGACTAGCTACACATTTTGAAAGTCAAGGAAATAACCTTTACACTTTCCTCAGTACTGAAAAAAAAGAATTTCTATGTCTGACTATTTACATAGGGACTGCCCTCCTCAGTTCATTATCACCAGGTATCACTGCACTGTAACAGACATGTAGCTGTGAGGACAGATCATCCACTTGCCACCTTCACCAGACATCAGTGCTCATTTTAGAAGATTGATTAGTGTTGTATAAAGAAATAGTTTGTAGAAATGCCATGTCAAGTCCTTAAAAAGTATTTACATGACACCTTGGACGGTATAGATGAGGTACTGTCTTATTTGTCTAACTTTTCCATTGAGTGTAAAGTGTACCAAGCTAAAATGTGTCAAGATGTCAGATTTTTGAGGTTTTCAAATCATTTTGAATATTTCAACATGAACACCTGCTGGCAAAATTTTCAGCAGAGGTTGCAGGCTTGTCACAAAAGAAAATAAGCATGTTCCTCTCATATTGGCCAAGCTTTTGTACTTGGTCATAAGTCCCATTCTCAAAAGGAACAGAAATACAAAATGTCTGATCACTTTCTTCATCATTATTTCTTGAACATTGAACTTTAATATTTGCCCTTTCATTGTCCTCTACAGTACATACCATGTAATATACCAATCTTCTGAAATAGCTTATATTAATTTCAAGTCTATGACAAATAGTGTGGTAGTCAGGGGATTTACTTCCACAGTTTCCAAGAACATTACTATTTTCCATGTTTTGATAGGCAGTCAGGCAATACATTTAAATGTACATGAGTTCTGTCATACACAGCACAAGTTTCAATGGTCTAGTTTAAACTACACTCAGGTAACTAAAGTGTTTTATTAATGTTATATATACATAAGGAAGTCCATCTGACCCATTGTGGGGGTTTTAGATTTCATAGGACACTTTTCATGAGTTAAGCTACCTTGCTAAAGTTTGTTCGTTTGTTCGTTTGTTCGTTTGTTCGTTTGTTGTTTTACGCCGCACTGAGCAATATTCCAGCTATATGACGGTGGTCTGTAAATAATCGAGTCTGGACCAGACAATCCAGGGATTGACAACATGAGCATCAATCCACGCAATTGGGATACGATGAAATGCATCAACCAAGTCAGCGAGCCTGACCAGCCGATCCTGTTAGTCGCCTCTTACGACAAGCTTAGTCGCCTTTTACGGCAAGGATGGGTTGCTGAAGACCTATTCTACCCCGGATCTTCACGGGCCTGCTAAAGTAGATGCAGTTAATTATAGTGTGTGGCCATCAGTTCAGTCATTATCATGTATAACAGATTTACACTTTTCACTTTCAAGTTTGTTTTAAAAATGATTACTTCATTAAAACCCCTTACAAACAAGGAAGTAATTTACTTTTTAGTCATGTCGCATGAAATAAATCACATCTCAACATTCACCACAGAGTTACTTCCCTTTATAGCAATCGCTTAATTCTGGCTCTCCACATGTTTTCCACCTTTAGCATAGCATTAAGATATTGGTTATTCAAGATCCTCTCCCTGTGCTACAGAACGGAAGCTGCAGCCACATGAACTGCCCCACAACATCTACATCCAGAACTACAGCACCGCAACAGCCACGTGTATTGTCCTCAAGAAGTGGGTGTTCACGCTGTCCAAGGAGATGATGCTAAACGCGTGTGAAAAGGCAGTCAGCTTCCTCTACTGGCAGGTAGGTCTCCACGCACCATGCTCTGATTCCCGCTTACAGTTGGACCCCAGCAACCTACGCTGGTCGTAAAAGGCGACGTAGTGACTTGCTTGATAGCATGTCGTTGCAGGGTTGGAACTTAATGATGTTATATCGCTCATTGTGATGCAAAAGATGTGACATCACTGTTGTATATAGAAAAAGCGGCAAATAACAAGCTCTCTGTTTGTCTCAACACTTGAAATACTTTCTCTTTGTAGATTTCTATCTTGTTATCTGCAAGAGTATTGCCACATATCCTTTGAATATTGTAGTAACTGCAACTTTGCATAAAATAGCCTATAATTGTACATTATACAATCATTTAAATATGCCTATCAACAATGACTGTAACAGAAGTACTATTCTAAAAAAAATTAGCTTCCGAATGATCAGCTGTCAAACCAGATATTTCAGTCAGAGATGTTTTATTATGATTTGATACCTCTGACTGACCAGTAAACATTTAGTATTTTTGAAATTCATGGTAGAATATATTGTGTATATCTGAACCTTATAAATACACTTTCAACAATGGTAGTGTTTCGCACATTATTCAAAGTTAGCTAGAAGGTTCTATTCTTTGCTAGATGTGATGGTTAGTGGGTATTTCTATGAACGTCCTTGGTGAATGCTGTGATGTGGTAACTCACTGTTGTTATTGACACTGTTCCCAGGCAGTAGATGAGGTGAACCGAGGCCAGATAAAGACTGGCGACAAGTTGTATGAGTTGAAAGCATTACGAGAGGCAGCCAAAGCTCATGAGGTGAGTAATGTATCTAACTCATATAACATTCAGCGATAGAAATTGGCACAAGTTCTGTAGTTCTTGTCAAACTGCCCAATAGTTAAGGTATCATGAGCACTAGTAGAAATTTGCCATTTTGAAGGGTTTTGTTCTGTGTTATCATTATAGGGACTAGTGTTAGTTTTTATCACTGATAATGATGGCACTGTGTTTCTTCATCACATATGCAGCCCTAGGCCCAGGTTACAAAACCATCATCTTAAGTGAGGAAATAGCATTATTTATAGAGGTTGCCTTAATTACAATGATTGATACGTACAGTGATAATTGCTTGATTAGTTTCAGTTGATTTGTGTCTTGTTGGGAGTACATAAACATTGGCTAGTCTGTACAATCGTCTCATGAATTATTGATATCATATGATAATTTCGGTCAATCTGCATGTATTTTCAAAACTCTATCCCAAGCATGAGGACTGTGGTTGAAGACAACTTGTAATTTCTACATGTACTTAGACATAAGTAAAACAACCTTGAAGAGAGGTGATACATACAGGACATTGTGTGGACTGTAGCCGTACCTGACATGTCTTGTTGCCTGTTACAGTACCTGAAGGTTGTGCGTCACCTGGACGGCTATGGGGAGGTCGTGTTCCCCCATTGTGCGTGTGACTCCCGCCGAGATGGTCATGTGATTGCTATCATTGGTCTGGAGAGCTTCAAGTTACAGGCGTGTAAGGATGACGGGCAGCCAGAGGTTAGTGTGTGGAAGCCGCATGGAAGCCTGTCGCAGTGCCAGGTGGCAGTAGCACAGATGCCAGCCACTTCGATTTGGGCAGATTTTACAACCGCTGCCATTTTGGGCAGGTTTTACAACCCTGATTTGTGCAGATCTTTCAACCACTAATTTTTGGGCATATTTTACAACCACTGCCATTTTTGGAAGCTTTTACAACCCCTCCGATTTGGGCAGATCTCACAACCACTGCCATCCTGGCCGGTTTTACAACCCCTCCGATTTGGGCAGATCTCACAACCACTCTGATTTTACAACAAAATTAATCCTCCAGGGCTTGATTTACGAAACTTTATTTAACTTGCACCAGGTGCATGTTGACATGAAAACAAAGCTACGTCAAACAAAACAAGAAAGCATGACAAATTACACACAATACAGGGATTTGTGATTATGGTGATGTAGTATGGTAAATCATATTTTTTAGAGGTATTGAGTGTGTTTAAAGATCAACTGTGTGGACAAGTAACGGTTGGTCAGACACAAATTTAATATTTGGTGGATGTAGACATAAATATTAGGGTGCATTTTTCAGTAATATGTTGCACTTGTGCATGCCCAATATAGCTAAATTGAGCCTGCCCTCTGAAAGTCTGCTTGTTTGTATGGTGTTGGCTTATACATAAACTTGTAACTTTAAGGTGAAAAAAATAACAGAATGTAATGTTTTTTATCAAGGATTTATAGACTAGATTATTCCTATCTTTGTGTGTGTGATCCATATTTCAGAGCTGCTCATAGATTGTAACAGAACCCGTTGAGTACAAGGATATGGCATTTTTGCTGTATTATTTACATGTTTTTGTTTCCAGTCACAGGTGATTGAATTCTCCTGGAAGGATGTCCGATCATATGAGGTAGACGAGGAAGGAATGTCCTTTAATTTCGAGTACGACAGACCTGGGAAGAAACCGAGGATAGTCAAAATATTTACACAATATGTGAGTAGCAGTACATGTAGAAGAAACAGTGACACAGAAAATGAAAAAAAGGCAAAATATAATTAGAGATTAGAGATACATCAAGTGAAAAGGTTATTAGCAAAATATTGTATATTATGAGACATCTTAGTTTGCAACAAAACAGAAATTATACTCTTTGTAAATCAGAACCTTGGCAGACTGAATAATGTCTCCCCTCCCAAAAGGCTCTGTTGGCTTTGGCCTTGGCGTCAGGGTTCCCATCCTGTTCCGAGCCATAACTTAAAAAATGATCTACATATTTTTCTTATGCTTTGGTCATCAGCTTAACTGGTGCCTTTTGCTATTTGGAAATTTGTCAAAATTTTATTTTGTTATGTTTCCATGGAAACTATTTGAACTAAGTCTCAAACAACTTTAGGCTTTTATTTCTGAGCCATAACTTTCAAACTAATGAATATTTTTGTATGAAACTATACATGTGCAAAGACCATAAACTCAAATATTGCCTTTTCAAATATATGAGTTTTTATTTTTGTGTGTTTCCATGGAAATAACTAGTAGAGTTTATTTCTCACCAAAACAGTAAATGAATATTTCTGTATGAAACCATTTTCTTCCTTGGCCAATATTTGTTATCGTTTTTCAGATTTCCAAACACATTTACAGTAACAACTTGAACTAATGTATCCAAAAACGGCAGGGGGGTGACATGTTTTTGAGTAAAAACACACTCTAGTTAAAATACGTATTACTGAATTAATTAGAGCATTATCAAAGTCATACTTTCATTACTCTTGAATTTGTTTCAGAGCTATTTTATGAGTGATTGTTTCGATCGAATATATGAAGAATTGGATTGGGAGAAATAAGTTGTGAGTATGAGTTGTTTCGTTACACGTTAGTGTACTCAGAACTCGGGATGTGATTCCTCTCAAGGTGTATCCCCTGTGGATCTCACTATCGGGTATATAACCTACGTACATGTGTTCCAAGTAACCGGACACGTGAAGATCCGGGTTGAGAATAGGTCTCAGCAACCCATGCTTGCTGTAATAGGCAACTATGCTTGTCTTAAGAGGCAACTAACTGGATCGTATCCCAAATGCGTAGATCGATGCTCATGATGTCAGTCACTGGATTGTCTGGTCCAGACTCTATTTTTTACAGACCGCTGTTATATACCTGGAATATTGCTGAGTGCGGCATTTAGCAACAAACAAAACCATGTAACTGAAAGGCAATGACTGTCTGATTCAGTATTCTGTGTGACACACTGAAAAGTGTGTCATTACTAAAAGCTAGAAATTTGTATGTGTTTGCTGTGCTATCATTGTTGAGATGCTAACCATTTACATTTCCAGTGGTATCATAAATAATTTTTCACAAACCCAATGTTAGCAACTGAGAATAGATCTTTGCCCTTAAGTGGACCAGGGGTAAAAGTAGCTGTAACCAACAATGCAGAGTTGTGCCCCTTAGCCATGCCAGGATCTGCAGGTTGTGGGTTTGACTTCCTGATTATGCCTTGATTATAATCCTGGATCTGTCAGTTCAATCTGGTTGTGTGGATTCACAAAAGTGGGAAGCATCCACAACGTCACTGACTCTGTATCAACTGGCTGTGACAAGGCAATGTTCTCACCAGCTGTTGTATTTCTTTGTTTGCAGAAGCTGGTGATGCTAGGCTGTGCCAACTGATGAGTGAGTTCATACTTTTATGGAAAATTAGTGATCCCTTTTTTATGTCAAAGATTCTGTTTTCTCTGTACAACTCACCAGGCAGCACTATTCCAGCTTGAACTCAGGTGACTGACAGGGTTACCTCCCTTGTAGGTATGAGTGGACTTCTGGCCCGGTCCATGGTACTTTTCCTATGAGAGTACAAGTTTTGTCTGTAATCAATCAGCCCCAGTGTAGCAGGGTGTTATCACTAGCCTGCTTGTCAATACTAGAAGTTTTCTCTCCATGGACTATAATGTGATAATGTATTTCAAAGGGCCTGTGTTTATTATTGAAAAAATATCAAATCGATTCACAATGTTCATTAATGAGTTGAGGCAATTATGACAAAACAGAACCTATTTTTCTTCAGGTGTGAATCAAAACGGAACGTGATATGAGTGTCTGCTGGTGATTCAGAAATGTTCTGTAAACCTCGACATGTGATACCTTTAACTTACATGTGATGCTTACGTGACGAGACAGATGGGACAAGCACAGCAACATCCAGCACAAACCATTTCTCCGTCTCCTTCCTTCTTCACAAGCGGGTCATTAGCTCTCGGCCTCTCCATCATAACTGGGACTACTTTGGATGGGAGAGGGACTTCAAGAGACAGTGGAGTTTCAAAGAAAACTGGATTCTAGGCTTTTCTGTGACACAAGCCATGTTTTACAAATCAGGAGATAAACTTGAGCAATGTTTTCATGTTGGAACTGTTGCAAGGATGTTGGGTTTAAGTTTGTATTCTACTCAAAAAGAGTTAAGGACACCGAATCTTGCATATGTCTATAGTAAGTCTGCCATGCCATGACACATTAACTATAGTGATATGAAAGAATCAGGTGGCCCTGAACCTTTTTTAAGTAGTATATTAAGAGGTTTCTTGACCTTTTGGTCTGGGCTGAATTTATTTTAGCAAACGGATTGGGCATCAAATGCATTGTTTACAGTGTCTGCAACAATTTGTCACTGTGCACACATGCACCTGTTAATGGAGTGAGGTTATGCTCTTCTTTTGTTTTCTGATTGATAGGATCTCTTATTCTGTTTGCTTTGACAGTCCTGATGATTTTCTGTTTTTTTGTATTTAAGTTTGCGTCTGAAGCAGGGGACAGGTTGTGGTGAAGTTGCTGTGGTACCGAGAGTGTCACTCTTGTGTTGTGTTACATCTATGCACATCGCTGTACTGGCACTGCCATGTATCAATATGCCCCTCCCAAGCTTCTGGTGGAAATATTGCAGGATTCAGTCGAGTATCTCTCACTAAAGTTAGCTATCATCCCAATGACTCTCTGTATAAAGATTTTTTCATATGAAATCAATCCATACATTTCATTCTCAAACTGTTTGACAAGTAATTGTAATGACATTCTGGCAGACTATTTTTCCATGAGTAGATGATAACATGAGTACACAACTACTAGAATGCCCGCCTACTTATGTCCCTGTGTCACCTAGCTGGTACAGTGGAACCTTTCTAAACCAGACTTCAGTGGTCCAGTGTAGACGGAGGTTCGGATGAGTGGGTTATTGCAGGAGATAAAGAAACAGAAAATAAAGAGAACGTTGAAAGAAATATTACACCTGATAGTAAATTCAGGACCATAAATGTGGTCCAGTATTGACAGAAATCTGGATTAGTCAGATTCTGGTTTTGACAGGTTCCACTGTAGTGTGTGTCTCTGTGGCTCCGTGTATGGTATAACTACACCCTCTGTACTGGGGAGACTTCATCATGCATCTTGAGTAGGCAGCAGAACCAAGATACGTACTGCCACAGCAAGGATCACAGTGACTCTTGGTTCATGACTGGCTGTAGTCAGGATCACAAGCAGAGGGCACCATGTGTAGGATATCACTGCATCAAGCCGTAGCACATCAAGTAATATTATCATAACTTTTTAAAATATTTATTTGCTATTCATCATTAGCAGTTTTCAATTCAGCTTACTATCAGGGTTGTTATCAAGACCTGTTTCAAAATGCTGTATTTTTTGCTGAAATTACAGTAAAGTAATCATGGTGTATGGAGGGCTTCTGAAACACAGTTTTTGTGTAGAAGCTGCTGGACAAGGACAAGTTCTTGTGGATAAACAACTTTATTACAATTAAGGCAATGTTTAGGTGGAGATAAATACTTGTTGATAACAGTGTTAGAATCTACATCAAAACATCGCCTCATGTGTAATAAAGTAGTTATTATCAAGAGCTTGTCCTTGTTCATCACACCAACCTCAACACCAACCTCAAAAAAGTGAAAAAAACAGGGCGCCGTTCCATAAAGTGATCGTAGTGCTAAGTCGATCGTAAGTCCCATACTTTAACACAGACTTATGACTGTCATACTGCTAAGGTGATCGTAAATCCCATACTTAAACAGACTTATGACAGTCGTAGCGCTAAGTTGATCATAAATCCCATAGTTTAACAGACTTATGACAGTTGTAGCTCTAAGCTGATCATAAATCCCATACTTTATCACAGACTTACGACAGTCATACTGCTAAGGTGATCGTAAATCCCATACTTAAACACAGACTTATAACAGTTGTAGCGCTAAGCTGATCATAAATCCCATACTTTATCACAGACTTACGACAGTCATACTGCTAAGGTGATCGTAAATCCCATACTTAAACACAGACTTACGACAGTCGTAGCGCTACGATAGCTTTGTGGAACTGCCACTGTTGTAACTGTGTCACAGTCATTTTAACAGCAAGGTTTTGATTCTCAGAAGATTTTCAAATGAATTCTATTAATTGCTTTTGTAAAGCGAATGTATTTATTGTTACGTGATGAAAGGATGGAGACAGGAGACCAGATTAGATGTTGCTGTGACATGGTGACAATGTAGCAGCATTCACCTGAACATTATGTAACCACATGTGCACATGTCTTTGTTCCGGCTTACCTGGGAACGGACAAAGGTCATCTTCAGATCATTTCCTAGATGTGACAGTCATGTTTTATCCGACCAAGCTTAACACTGCAGAATGGTTGGAAAGAATTCCTCAATTGTAAGATTTAGGTATTATTCAATATCCTTTATGATGATACTAAATTTTATTTATGTAGCTTTTGGACTTACTATAGAGGTGATTAATATTGGTGTAGTTGAAGCTCCTATGTCAGTATTTGCTGGCTTGCCTGAGATCATAATGCTCGTAGATGTTTATTCTAGTCTGTCATGTTGAAAATTGCCTCAAAGTTCCTACACAAGATCCCAGGCCAAGCACTGCAGCATGTCCTGGTACCTTGTGCTGTCAACCATGGTTACCGGTATTTCAAGATGGTGCCAATCTTGATGGTAGCTTTTGATCCCAACGAAATCTTTCAAATTGCATTTTCTTCTTCATATACTTGTCTTTTTACTGTGTCTGAAAACTCTGCCTGTCTCAGTGTCTGTCTTGTCCCATCATCAGTACTCCAAGGGTGTATGCACTATGTCCAAGGGTGTATGCACTACGTTCCTACATCACCCGTGAATACATACAACAGATAAGCAGTGCATGTCATGCATGTCTGTTTTAGATAATGATGACTCGCCGATGTCAAACCATCACATGACATTCAAGCAGTGTGTTAAGTACAGTCTTTAAGTCTATGGGGGCGGTCGGGTAGCCTTGTGGTTAAAGCGTTCGCCCGTCACGCTGAAGACCCGGGTTCGATTCCCGACACAGGTACAATGTGTGAAGCCCATTTCTGGTGTCCCCCGCCGTGATATTGCTGGAATATTGCTTAAAGCGGCATAAAACCAAACTCACTCACACTCACTGTAAGTCTATGCCACTTTTTGCACAAGATGTATTGTCGGTGTAATCTGAACACTCATAGGACCAAGCACTCGATAGCTGTATCCTAAGGGGGTTCCAGGGGGTCCAGACTCCCCCATTTTGAAAACCAAATGTAGCATGTTGTAGGCAGTAGAGTTGTCTGAGAGAGGATTTTGATATTTTGGACCCATCCTTTTAAAATGCTGGATCCGCCCTTGCTCTCATTCATTCCCTCTTGCGGGAACCAAGCTGCGGTTGGATTCTTTGGTTAAAAATATTGACTACACTGTTAAGCGGCAGTATGTTTTCACTGGTGATGAAGGAACCTGTGTATTGACGATGGGATGATGGAGGAACGTGGTGTATTCAAACCTGTGTACTGGTGATGGTCTTGTCTTTAAGGTGATAAACATCTGCGGTACTTAATGGCCATCTCAAAAGTTCACCGTAAACCGCTAGATTGAACAGATTAACTGGTAGCCCAGCAAGATCAGTGCCGTGTGAGACAGGTGATGCTGTGACACTTCTACAATATGTATTTTTGTTTGTGAACTAAACAGGGTGGTTGGGTTGCTAAGATACACATGTATTTGATAATCATGGAATCATGTATCCTTGAGAAAATAATACTGTGTGTAGAAAGATTAAGGACATTGAGTCTGGCGTTAGACTTCAAACTATTGCAACAATCAAAAAACTGTTAAAACAAAACAAGTCAAAGATTCTAAAAATTGTATTTTTAATACTGTCTCAGGAACTATTCATTTGAAGATTATATATCACCGTGTTGTGGGTTTTTGGGTGCTTAAGAAACAGTCCTAGTTTTCTCGCTAATCACATGAACAACTGTAAAATATCTCATTTGCTCATAAAAGATAACTTTCTCTTAAAAACAAGCCATCATCTGAGTATTTGCAATTTCTGTGTGATGCTACACCCCCTGTTATAGCGTGAGTAATCGTGATAAACATGGGTGATGTCCGAAAACCTATGATCTGACGATATTCTATTTTAAAAGTCCTTGCAAAAGGAAACTTGACACAACAAGCTGCAGTGAACTAGAAACAGGGTGTGTATGACAATGGTGCAATCTATGTTCAGCATTACATGATATTACTTGTTGAGGTTGCTGGGTATAAAATTACGACTAACTAACAGTGGTGCAGAGTAATCAGGATGGACAACTTCCTGATCGGCAAGTGGGATAGAGTCCGCCATTGATAACACCTGTCCCCAGCCAGTGGGAACTTCCTGTTCTTGTTTCCCTAACTTTGTTATGGGGCATTTCCACACCGAGATCGAAGAATAAGAAGAAGTGTATAGTGTGAGATAGGATAAGTATATAAATATACAATTTATTAGAAAATTTACAAATTCAAGATTTCCCAATTCATGTTAATATACTCACCACTACGTGAACCATTGAAACATAGAGAAGTATGTACGCTAGGAAGAGACAAGGTGACTTGTATTCTGGTAACAAGCCCAATAAGGAGGAAGAGGCTAAAATTCTTTCTATTACATTATTTAACTGAATGCAATGTTAGATATCGTTGAGCTTAAGTAAATAAGAACTTTGAAAAAGATCCTAATTTTGAACATCATAATGATTATTTTCCCTATTTGAGTGCCATGGACACATGGAATCCTAGATAAATCCCTGTGGTGGACACTGAGCTAAATCCAGCTTTCAAGATTCAATACTGATTAGTTTTTAGTAAGACTACTAAATTTTTTACAAGACAAATAAAGTCCTAACTGCTATATCCTGGGGTAGACACCATTGGCCCTATTCAACTAGTCTGCAGATCATTTCTAGACTTTCACTCCTCTCAGACTAGCAGAGTAGTGGCCTTGTCTATCCCTGATGTCAAACCCTGTACTTTGCAACAATCTTTTAGCATTTTAGGTATGTAGCATTATTTTAATATCTATATACTTAAACCATTGTGTTAGCCCTTATCCAGTGATTTGAATGTAAACCTGTATCAATAGTCTATTGTCACTTGTGGTATGTGACCATCGTTATTTGCAGGTATGTACAAAAGGGAAGTAACTCTTCATGTTCTGTACAGTGGGATTGTGGGTACAATTTGACCTTTTTATGGTCAGGGTCATGTGTGATGCATATTTTGATAATTCAATGAAATAATGTACTCTTTAAAAGACATTTTCTCTGAAAGGATAAACTTTTTGTAATTGAGTATGATTCAGACTGCATTTACCATGTATGAAATGTGAAAAGGGTGTAGAATCTACTACAGATCGGAGAGACCCTGTTTGGAGCTTAGAGCAGGAGTACAATATCCTGTGTTATGTTCATCACAATTGTATCGAATATCATGTCTTGTACAGATTTTCTGTGAAGGGTTTGAATCCAGATCCTTTAATATTTGTTGAAATATGTATATATTAGTATCATTATTAACTTAAACAGCACTGTAAACAGTATCACAGATTAACAGATTTTGTGTTTATGTCAATTGCCTGTTACCATGGCAACCCAGGCAAGATATATATGTATCATATATATTTCATCTTTGTGTATTGTGTTATACAGCTGTTCTGAATGTCTCGAGTGCTAGACGTGTACAAACATATTATTCAAGGATGCGTGGAAGATTATTGTATACACATTAATGCAAGTTTTGAATATACTTTGATCACTGTCTTTTTAACCCAGCAGTGTTGCTTGCCGGGGTGTGCTGATTTGTGTCATGTGCAATCACTTCTAACAAACTCGGTGGACGTCCTCCACAACAGAATGGGTTGCTGCAGACAGAATCTACCACTCTGTCAGCACCATGCAACTACAGCTGATGGTGTCACTCTCTATCGGTGTACCATCAAAATGTACCCTTGTTACAAAATAATATATCTATTTGTAACCAGATTTTTGTGCTGTATCGTTTTGTACCCAGACCATATTTAAGTGTGTCCCATTTGGGAAATCCCACGATGCATTTGGGAAATGTATTGCAGGCAATAGACTAACATCTAGTCTCTGAAATGAACTATTTATAGAAGAAAAAACAGTTATTAAATTATGGTTTTGAAATATAATAAAAAGGAGCCCAGAGACTTTCTTCATTTTCAGATACTGCAGTAATCTAGGCTTGCCTAATATTATAGACTTGCATGGGATGTATTGGATAAATTGTTTCAGGGTCTGTATAACAGACTATAAGGGGAGGGAAGAGACAGACTTTCATTGAAATAATTTTTGATATAAACAAAATGCAAATGTTTTTAAATGTATTTTATATCAAGAGCTAGGCCCAGCAATATTTTATCAGTTTATAGAACACAGTTCTCTATCTATACTGTAGTGCAGTTCGTTGACACAGTCTATTTATTGAAGCTCCTCAGTTTATTTCGTTGAGAAGCTATTGTTGATACATTTATAACATAGAATATCGGGAGATTTCCAAAATCGTGGTACACTTGCTGTGGTTGGGTACAAAACAATACGGCAACCAAAATCTGGGTTCAACTCAATATATATTTTTGTACCAAGGGTACATTTGATAGTAAACAGATCGAGAGTGACCCTAGCAGCGCAACTAAGGTGGATATCAAGTTTGGACAACACATGAAGGCCCTTTTCAACAAGCTGATTTAAGGGATGCAACTGTTGTAAACTGACATCTTACAACAGTGTTAGTGCTGAGTTGGTTTGTAGAACATGGCCCCGATTGTTGTGGTCGGTGGTCGGTGGTTGGCATGTTCTGCTGGGTAAGCCTGTATATATGCATGCTGATACATTACAGTGTGAGGAGATGAGACCTCTTAAATTTTGGAAATATTTTCGTTCTGTGAGTGCTAATCTCTGACTACAGATTTTGATGACACATGTTTCATTTCTTATTATTTAGAAAGAATTACACCTATAGTTTTGAAAATTGATTTGACAAGTCAAATACTTAAGATTGTATGGATAAAACAGCTTTACATAAAACTTTTCTATATATGCAAACTTCTTTATTCTGCCGTTCCCTGTGTGTGCACATGATGCCTGGCACTTGACAGTGTCACTGCACACTGTATGCTATGTGCAATGGTCAGCTAGGTAGCCTGTGATATTTGTAACAGATATATCTATATACACATACCCTCATACACCAGTATTGAGATCATCAACGCTCACATGGCAACACTTAGTGCAGTTATTGAAAACAGAATGGGTAAGAGAGTGAGATCCTAGCTTCTTTGAGAGGCATTTAGAAGTTGGAGTACTAAGTATGAATAATTACAATTAGGAGGGACGTTTCGGTGTAGGCTCTAACACCCTTATCAAGCAAGTGATGTACAGAGTATGGTTGAATGAGTGAGATCCTTTTTTTTTCTGAGAACAAGACCTACCAGTAAGTGTCGTTAAGGTACAATGTTTATGAAAAACGGTATCAGCAGGTGTTTCGACTGCCATTCTAGTAATTCTTGAAACTGTTTTCACATCTTGGTTGTGTTGTTCATTGACTCTTCTGATGTCGGAGTTTCTGGATCTCCTCTGCAGTAGGTTATGCTTGAGAGAATGATGATGTAATATTGATTTGATATAAGGTCACACATCCAGCCTTGTCACTGGCATACTCAGAGAAAGGTTTCAGGGATATAGAACCCTGTCCAAGACCCTGGACAGTCAAAGCATGGCTGACGTATCTTCATACCTCGAACATATTGTCATTTTTTTACTTCTTTTGCATCAAAATAGTGAACTAGGCTTAGACGAAGAGTTGGGTGTTATACATGTATAACCAAGTTTTATGTACCAAATGTTGCAACGTTTGTATGCATATACTGGTATCTTGTATTTCAGTCCTTCTTCACCAGTTGAATACAGGCTCTGTTAGTTACTGTTGAATGTGCCTGGGACACAGGTGACCCTTTGGTTTTAGGTGCTGAAATTTGTTGAGAAGAGTTGTGTCCCTTAGCCAGGCGGCGGGTTTCTTGTTTGAATTCCAAAATATGATTCATAGTCTGACAGCACCATGGCCATGCTCGTGGCGTTCACGCAAGTGGTTGTATCTGCTTTACTTCAGGCTTTTTTCATGCAGTAAGCTGTTCTAAGCGGCTTGGTTCCACTCTTATTTCAGGTCTGATGAGACATTAATGTTTTCACGGGGACCATTTATGTTAGGGTTGGCATTTATGTAGAGTCCAATAACGTAGTTCAGATAGTTAGCCAGTTTTGAAGAAAGTTGTTTGCATAGTCACATACAGAAAGCTTTGATATGCTAGAAATTATTGCAAACATTTGCTCATCACGCTGAAGCTCCAGGTATGATTTTCCATGTGGGTACAAAATGTGAAACCCAGTCTTAGTGTCCCCGGCCTGTTGATTTAATATTGTGGCATTACTCTACTCAGTCCCTACCAAGTCTGACTGTAGATTCTTGCTGCTTCTTTCCCTCCCTGCTCAATATAGGCTTAGCTTGCTTACCTAGTCGCTGATGCTGCTCATGTACATATAGCAAAGAACAGCTAGTTGGGGTCCTGTTTTTATGCACTTGTTAAAATTACATACTTTCTGAAATCTGATTTTTGATTTTAAGGGTATTTTTAAATTAATCTGTATGAAGTACTCAATATTTTACGGCTAGAAGGTCTCTTCTGCATCTTTTGCAATTTATGTGGAGAAAATTGCCAAATGTAACAAGCGACTTGTACATACGCTTTGAAAGACGAGGATGTCAAATGGCTTAGCTCAATCAAATCAAAAGATTATTATTCTGAATGAAGGCATTTTCCTATCTTTGTTTCAAATGAAAGCAGCTTTCATAGGGGACAGGAGGCAGATTTGTGTTTTGGAAAGTTTATACAAGGATGTTTGTTAGTTAAGAACTGGTTGCTGCCGAAGAGAGGTGGGGATGGCGAACAGGCCTAAAGTGTCATAGCCTGTTTTGAAGAGTTGCTCCTCTTTACTCTAGTCCAGCTTCTCTCAGGTTCAGATCCTTGATTCACCCTGGATGGCCAGCACCATGGGTTGCTACAAGGTGTTGAACATTTACGATCATTGCCCAGTCATCTAAGGCACCACAAGTCACTGTTCAGAGTTGCTTCCCTTGGGCACGCCAGGAACCTGATATTTGGTTTGAATCCTGGTTCAGCCCGAATATGTTCTAGGTTTGTCAACGTCATACCCATGCTTTTGGTTTTCCCAAAGTGGTAAATGTCTAAGACTTGCATCACTTTGGGTTTTCCTCCCACATTAAGCGGACACGCCATGATAGAACTGGGATACTGTTGAAAGCAGAGTTAAACCTAACTCACTCACTCACTCACTTTGAATTTCCTCCAACATTGATCACTGAAATATTGTAGTGTTGCACTCACTGAGTCACACATTCACTTCTCTTGAGGCTCACCTTACAAACATTGTACAATATCATGCTAACCAAACTACTGAGATTAATTAGTTCCACTGGACACTTTGCCTTGCTGGCACTGAGAGCTAGTATCCTGTGAGATAAAACAGTTGGAGCAGGTGGTGCCCCAGTGCAGACTTGCGTTGCTTCTGTCCCTGTTCCCATGTGACCTGTGTCAGCCTGTACAGCCTGCCATTGTAAATTGTGCCAACATCGTGTGTGCAGTGTGAAGTCGAGCAAGGAATTTTCAGTTCATAACATAACCTTTTATATGATGTAATCAAACAGTTGCCTCTTGTCCAACATGGCACAGTGTATATATAATGTGTATGTCAGTGTCCCACAGCTGAACACCTCAAGCTACAGCTACAGTTGAACACCACAAGTTCAAGTTGAACACCTCAACTTGAACACTTAGTTACAGGTAAACACCTCAAGCTACACATGAACACCTCAAGTTCAAGGCGAACACCTCAAATAGCTTGTGAACACTTAGTTATAGGTAAACACCTCAAGCTACACATGAACACCTCAAGTTCAAGGCGAACACCTCAAATAGCTTGTGAACACTTAGTTATAGGTAAACACCTCAAGCTACACATGAACACCTCAAGTTCAAGGCGAACACCTCAAATAGCTTGTGAACACTTAGTTATAGGTAAACACCTCAAGCTACACATGAACACCTCAAGTTCAAGGCAAACACCTCATAAAGTTTGTGAACACTTAGTTACAGGTAAACACCTCAAGCTAGAGGAAAACACCAAAGTTAGAGTTCAACACCTCAAACTACCGTTGGACACTTTTAGCTACAGATGGACACCTCAAGCTACACATGAACACCTCAAGTTCAAGGCGAACGCCTCAAATAGCTTGTGAACACTTAGTTTCTGGTAAACACCTTAAGCTGCACATGAACACCAAAGTTAGAGTTTAACACCTCAAGCTACCTGTGGACACTTTTAGCTACAGGTGGACACCTCAAGCTATAAGTGAACACAGCTACATGACAAACATCTCAAAAACATTTGTCAAACCATGCTGGTATGTCCTGGCCAAGGGTATGTGATGTTAAATATGTATCGGTTCCTTTCACCTGTAAAACTGACCACCGTATTAGACCAAGTTGTGTCAAACTAACAGGACTTTCCTCCTGAACAGACAATGCTTTTTGTGCCACTTTTGTGAACTCCCTATATAATCTGTCCAGCATATCAACAGCAGTCAACACAGGATGTAGGTCTGATGCAGTGAGATCCCGCCAGGTCGGCCCTGTTGGTCACACAAATATCAACTGTAAGGACTGGGCACTGTTCCTCAAAACGATCTTAGCGCTAAGATGATCGTAACTCCCGGACATTAACATAAACTTACAATCGTAGCGCTAAGATCACTTTGTGGAACAGGACCCTGATCCTTGAGCAGTGTCTGTATACTGAACTTTTGATAGAGGTGAAGTTTGTGAATCCAGAGTTGATTGATTCAGGCTGTTTGATTTTCCTTTCTGTGTGGACAAATACATGGCGACCCATCTGACAGTGTTTTCTTACCTACTCTATGGTGATGACAGACTGTATATAGTTGTGTTATGAAGTGAAGGAGATTAAGGGAAACTCTACCTCACAGCATGCTCTCAAGCAGGAATACTTCCTTAAAGCAGTCCTGGGATTATTGCAATTCACCACATGCAAGAGAGACTTGCAACACTTCCACTGGACTGCCGTTTGGATGAGATCACCTGTGTCCTTCCGGCTTCCTCCCACAGTAAGCTGATGTGACTAAAATACTTTTCAAGGCAACTTGATTGTGTATTTCATATTTATCTGTCTCATGGTACATACAGTGCTAGGGTGTTTCAGCCAGGTTGATTTCTTACACTAAGTAATTGAAACACTGATTGTCTCTTCAAGCAAGGGAGATCACTGCGACAAATCCATAAGCTTCATGCAGGTCAGATCCGATTACTACAGTAAGTTCCGAAGCCCACGATAGCAGTTATCTCTCTTAGCTGTGCCAGGATTTGCTGGTCATGGTTTTCCTAGATTCTGATCCTTGATTTGCCAGCATTTTCCCTATGTCTGTTTCATCAACATAAATGTTCATTATGTGTGTCACTTGAGGCTTGGGCACTCTTCCCACATCAAGATGGCATACTGTGATATAATGCAAATCGGGGGCACGGGTGGCCCAGTCGTCTAAGGCGCCCCGATTCGCTGTGCAGAGTTGCGTCCCTTGGGCATGCCAGAAACCTATGATTGTGGGTTCGAATCCTGATTCGCCCCGATTATGTTTCTAGGTTTGTCAGCACCATACCTGTGCTCGTGGGTTTCACCGAAGCTTTCCTCCCACATTAAGCTGACGCGCCGCGATATAACTGGAATACTGTTGAAAGCGGCATTAAACCCAACTCACTCACTCACTATAATGCAAATCCCATACAAAGCGGTGTCCAACCCTACTCACATAATGGGGAACGCTAAACACAAACCGAACTTCACATATGTACATTGCCAATGAACAAATCTGTCATTCATCACTGGCCCCTGAAAGTTCAAGTTTCCTCAGATTTCTATACATGTGTAATATCGACCAATATTACACTGCCATGTGCCGCACACAGCATCACACTCGTCCAACACTGATGGATGGCTCATAGTCATATTTCTGTTTCCCGGTCTCCTTCACATGCTTTCATGGCAATCATTTCAGAATTGAGCTTTAACACCAACCTTCACACATTTAGCTCAATATTGCTTGTCTAGATATATTTGTTTGTCATTGCACATAGCATTAATATTCAGATCATGTTTAAAAATCTTTTTTGAATTGTTTTCTTCAGTAGGATATTGGATTTTCACAAAATTATCTTTTTCCAATTTAGTGAACGTTCTGAAGCAACTTACAGCTGTCTTACAGCTTTCTACATGGAAGGAAGTCCTTCAATACAGTTGTGTCAGACATGCATGTCTATATTGAGGTCATTGTTAGTTTGTATATAAATCAACTTGAAACTAAGACAAGAACTGACCAGCATTGTAATGTTTCTCTATATTTGCCACATAAATTTGTTTTCTTTAGCAAAAAGAAAATTACAATAATCTTATTTTCATTCCAACAAAGGAATGGCTCTCATTTAACTCAGTGCAAGTTTTTCTGCACTGAATACAGTTTCTATCTAGTGAGGATTGCTTCAGTTTGCTTTACATTTGGTGATGCCAATTTGTTAAGGCCATGTTCCCAGATGGGGAGTTAAAAAAAAAAGGGCCCCTTTAAATGTATCAAGTGGAAGAAATCAACAGTTGTCGCTCGATTTGTGAAGGCTAGAACATGATGTCACTTCTACATCATTTAGTTGTTGCGTTAAAAATATGTTGTTATCAAATTTAAATTTATGTTGATATTCTACTGAATTACAGAAATAAAGAACTGTACCTAATATGAGAAATTTGTTTGTCATCATTTTGTTTCCTAGCTGCACCACGTGCATGTGGATGGAGCGTCGGCCCAGAGAGCAGAAGGTCGGGGTTCCATCCCAAGCTGTGCCAAACCAAAACACGTACAATATGATACTTGCTGTTACCCTGTCTGGCACTCGGCATTAAGGGGCTAAACCAAGGACTGGTCGGCTCGGAGTCAGTACACTGTGTCTGAGTGGGGTAATCATGGTATCTCAGTTGGCTAGCACTATAAAATCGGTGTTAGTCTTGACTAATACAAACAGCCATACTCACACACATACACATTTCATTTCACCTCACCTCACCTCACCTTACTTCACCTCACCATGTAGGTCATGTGTTGTTGGTAGCCTAGCGGTTACGAGTTTGATAATTATGCTGAAGTTCAGTTCCCGATGTGTGAAGTGTTAATTTTTCAATAGAATTAGGAGCATACAATGAGCTTGATGCAATTAAGTTTCAGTTCACATCACCACCACACAGGAAGTGACTCACTGTGTCATGTTTTCCATGTGCGACACAGACGACTTACAGTGCACATTCATTGTGTCCATTGTCAATATTAATGTGTATCCAGTAAAACCATGTCTGCCCCGGACTCCCATGCATCGTACAAGCTGGGGACCTGTCTGCCCTTGACTCCCATGCATCTTACAAGATGGGGACCTGTCTGCCCTGGACTCCCACGCATCTTACAAGCTGGGGACCTGTCTGCCCTGGACTCCCATGCATCTTACAAGCTGGGGACCTGTTTCCCCTGGACTCCCATGCATCTTACAAGCTGGGGACCTGTCTGCCCTGGACTCCCATGCATCTTACAAGCTGGGGACCTGTCTGCCCTGGACTCCCATGCATCTTACAAGCTGGGGACCTGTCTGCCCTGGACTCCCATGCATCTTACAAGCTGGGGACCTGTCTGCCCTTGACTCCCATGCATCTTACAAGATGGGGACCTGTCTGCCCTGGACTCCCACGCATCTTACAAGCTGGGGACCTGTCTGCCCTGGACTCCCATGCATCTTACAAGCTGGGGACCTGTCTGCCCTGGACTCCCATGCATCTTACAAGCTGGGGACCTGTCTGCCCTGGACTCCCATGCATCTTACAAGCTGGGGACCTGTCTGCCCTGGACTCACATGCATCTTACAAGATGGGGACCTGTCTGCCCTGGACTCCCATGCATCTTACAACCTGGGGACCTGTCTGCCCTGGACTCACATGCATCTTGCAAGATGGGGACCTGTCTGCCCTGGACTCCTATGCATCTTACAAGCTGGGGACCTGTTTGCCCTGAACTCACATGCATCTTACAAGCCAGGGGGCTGTCTGCCCTAGACTCCCATGCATCTTACAAGCTGGGGACCTGTCTGCCCTGGATTCCCATGCATCTTACAAGCTGGGGACCTGTTTGCCCTGGACTCCCATGCATCTTACAAGCTGGGGACCTGTCTGCCCTGGACTCACTTGCATCTTACAAGCTGGGGACCTGTCTGCCCTGGACTCCCATGCATCTTACAAGCTGGGGACCTGTCTGCCCTGGACTCCCAACACAGAAGTGTTCATGTGACTCATGGGATCTGACCGAGCAACATCTGGGAAACATAGCTAGAGTGAGTGAGTGAGTTGGGTTTAACACTGCTTTGAGCAGTATTTCAATTATATCACGGCATTTCAGCAGATGTGCTGACAAACTTTCCAGTTTTTTGACATAGCAAGTTGCAGCGCCTTTGATAACATGGCCACCTGTGCCTCCACACAGCCTGATGTGAAAGGTGGTTGAACGTTCGACCCTGACTATGATGCGCTGTGTTTATGGAGTTAGTTGCTAGATTGTTCTGGAGGTCCTGGAGTCTGGAGGTCCTGGATTCCTGGTGTAGAAAATCATAACAACAGACACTGGATCAGTTCTACACTTTTAATATAGGCAAGCTGTATTTGAAAATGGAGCAAAACTATAAGTATCTCATCTTACAAGTATGGGATATGAAAATAGAATATCATTCCTCTGAAACAGTATCATAATTCTTATCAAAACTATAATCCAATAGATAACCATCAAAACTGTATACAGTGAAACCTTGCTAATCCAGACAGTGCCCAGTGAATACATTACCAAGGCCAGAGTCCTGCTCCACATAGCGAATGTAGCGGTAAGATGATCTTAGATCCCATACTTAAACACAGACTTACGCTTGTCTTAGCAATAAGATGATCGTACATTCCATACTTTAACACAGACTTACGACAGTCATAATGCTAGGACAATCGTAGTTCCAATACTTTAACACAGACTTACGACAGTCGTAACGCTAAGACAATCGTAGCTCCAATACTTTACCAGATTTACTAGTCACAGTGCTATGACGATCGTAGCTCACATATTTTACCACACTTAAGACAGTCGTGATGCAAAGACGCTCCTAAACTTTAACACAAACTTATGACAATCGCTATGCTAAGAAGATTGTAGCTCCCTGACTTACGACAGTCGTAGCACTAAAACAACCGTAGCTCCCATACTTTAACACAGACTTACGACGGTCGTTACGCTGAGATCGCTTTGTGGAAAGGGGCCCAGCTTCATAGACCAACAATCTGGATTAACAAGCTTTCACGTTATACGATAAAATACAGTTTTTCACCAGTAACAATGTTATTAATATAAACTGGAACTCCTGATTATAACAAACAAGTGTTTATATTGTATCTTCTGATATTATCTTCATCCCCTATGTACAATGCAGATGATAATTCACATTATATGTATAATGGTAGCTCCATACTGACAGCAACACGGCAGGACAGTGCTACATTTGCTACTTTAAAAGGCAAGTGATGTCTTTCTTCACACATGATTAGGACATCATTCACAGCACATGTATTTGAAAGGAGTTCATTTTGTCAAATTTCTATATGTTGTACAACATTCGTATAACACACAAGAGGAAGGATTCTATTTTGTTAAGTTTTCAAAGTTTATGAAAATTCTCATTCAGTGTCACACATGGCTAAGGGTATGCCTTGAATGTCTCCACACAACAAATGTTTGAGATGTCAACCTATTACGATCTACCAAGATGTTAGCAAAGTATTTGATTGCTGTTTGAATCCTGTTTTTTGTCCGCAATATTCCAGCTATATGATGGTGGCCAGTGTACATTATTCAGTCTGGACTAAACCAGTGATGGATGTAATGAGCAACACCCCACGGGGTAGGATGACACACAATCAACCAAGTCACTGAGCCTTATCCTCCATTTCACTTACCGTATTGGACGTAATAAGCGCCCTGCTCTAATAAGCGCCCACAGTGATATTTGCTAATATACTGACTGGTGAACAATCCCAATTAGCACCCTTTCCGATTATTCAGTGTACGCAAGACTTCTTTATTCATGCATAATACTCACTCGTGTGTTATATGCATCATTAATTATGGGCATTTAAATTCTCGAAAATATATATGTCGTGTAAAATACTTATCTTTTGTATCATATTAGGCTATCACCATAAACCACAATATCATGGGGTCCTCATGACCATTCTAGCAAAGAATATAGGGATATATACTTGTGACATATGATATACACTTGTGATATATAAGAAATATAACCCCGATATATGACATACCATGGAATGATTAGAAGTAAACATGCATATATCTCATGCTTCAAGGCCATTGATATTTCGGATATAACAAGTATTTCATCCCCATACAAAATACATGTGCTCGTGACATCTCTCGCATGTTGTTCCACTCTAATGGACATCAATGTACAATGCAGAATACTTTTCTAATGTCAGCAGTCTGATTGTAAACAAAATACTGTTTTTAATGCATTTCTGTTTCAATCCTTTTCTTGTTTTATCAATGAACTAAACCAAAATTTTCCACAAAATGGCTTCTGATCAAATTTATTTTTTCACAACCACCGGGATAATATTTCTATATTTCCTCCCTGCCCTGATCACATTTTCGGCCAGTGATATATTACTTGTGTGGCCCTGAACAAAGACACATGGTGTTACTGTTGCGCACACTGATGGAGCTGCTGAAACAGGTGCGTGATGGAGGTGGAACATCCCAGTGGTCGTTTCCGCCTCGCTAGAATCTCGGTACATTATTGTGATGCTGCAGATCTCTTGTCTCATGTAATGTCGATATTGCATCCTATATACAGTGATGAAACATGTAACTTTAAAAGTCGATCAGTGGTGGACAGTTCTGTTGATTATTTGCCAGTTTGATTGTGTTTGATTAGATTGTACTGATCTCAATACCAGAGCCAGGATGTCATGGAGCTGCCAGGAACAGGGGGATGAACACATTACAACGGTGGATCCAGGGGGACTACTTCACAATTTCAGATGCATATCTTATACAAATGAAGACCTGTTAAATAGCAACTTGATAAGTAGACAGCTTGTCTCGATTCGTTGTGCTAAGATGTTGAAAGTGACTGGGCAATACAATAAATTTGTGTACCGTGCTAAGATATTACTATATGTAGGACTTGAAAGTATCAATGTCCTTGTGCCAAAATACTTTTTACAGTATTTATATCTGTTATGTATATAGATGAGGCAGCACAAATGGCATACTCTTCAATCATGAGATTAATGCGTCATCAAATTGCTGACGGTGATCCGTCGTCGAACTGTGTCACCACGACTCGCTGCCCCCGACCGGTGACTGTCCCTCATACAAGTCAGTACGAGGAGAACAAATACAAGTCACATTGTGTAGAGTGTGGAGCACAGACCGTAAATGCTGCATACTTTTAAAGCTGCTTCAAATTACAAATGTACACATATATATTCAGAGGTAATACTGACTAATACATAAACACTCTGACACTATCTTTTATCCTACTTTAATGCATCTCGGGATATAGTGTCCATAGATTCATTCTATTACATGATAAATACCCGGGGCACATTCACCTCAAAAGCATCGTCTTGAGACCCACTTGAATTACATGACACTAAATATAGCCATCCAATGAAATACTCTCATGTGAGAGAGAAGGTGAGGTGAAAAAGGCTTTAATGTCGTGTTCATGATCATTGCATGTATATTGCAACATGCATGAGTGATATCTGCTTGGAGACCAGAGAGATGGAGAGAGGGGGTCACATCCGAAACAAAGGTATGATTGTTAAGGGGTCCAGGGTATCTATCCTAATTGAATGCCTATATAATAATACACTGATTCGGGGATGACTTGAAGGTGGACAGTCATATTAGTAACTTGAGACATAGGGTACAGCATACATAACTACTGCTGAACTGTACATGATGCCATCCGTCTCACCAGGACTAAACTGTGCGGGATATGAGGTATATAGTGGCATCACTTGCCAAAGTAGCCTTCCAAGTGTGGTGGAATCGGCCAGTGTTTACAGTTACCCTGCTACCAGGGGTTAATGCCTTGATGTACATCGTCACTATTACCATACCTGATTGTACAGAGTTAGACAACCAATAAACATCTCATTCAAGCAGCACTTCATATCGTCATATTTGAACACGACAAAATATTGAATATAATACAATTAGAACTTTTGCAAAAGGTTTGTGTCACGGTGATCATGATCCGTAATGAAACATGGTCATCCCTATCACAAGTCACACCAAACCGTTTCCATTTTCAACCAACTCAGTCCCATTTCCCATCCCCAAACCCCCAACCCCGACAGATCCAATACTTCTCAACTCACCCAGCTCCATCTTGATCATGATCACCCAGAATCAAATCATCCCCCCACCACTCTTCCCTGAACTCACCCCCAACCCAATCTTGTCACCCCTTCCCTCCCACCCTCCGCTCCTCCCAAGTCTAACCGATACTGAAAAACAAACATAACAAGAACATATTTAATAACAATAATCTTGTTTGAAGGAAATGCATTGACTTGTAACTGTCCGTGTACAATGATATGACTGGTCACATGACACACATCGCAACCTCAATGTGGTCACATGACACACCTCGCCTCCTCAATCTCGTCACGACACACATCACAGCCTCAATGTGGTCACATGACACACCTTTTCTCCTCAATGTGGTCACATGATACACCTCGCCTCTTCCATCTGATCACATGACACACCTCTCCCCTTCAGTCTGAATCCTCCTCGTCTCCATAACCCTCGAGGTATCGAGATGATGTTGATCCCACTGCAACAACAACAATGACATCAGCGCCAAACAAGCTTGTCTTGGTCTTCAGGCACATCATGTCTGCTAAACATTCTCACTCCCTGGTAGCATATTTTCACAAAACCTAACTATACTACTCAAAAGAAGTTAAGGAACACCCAATCCTTGGCATGAAAGATTAACCACAGTGATGCGAAAGAATGGGGTGTTCTTAACTTCCTTTGAGTAGTGTACATCACTGCCCCATTTGCTCCAAGTAATCGCATGAGGACCAGCTGGTTTCTGATCGTTTACCTACATGAGCTCATGTGACATTGCAGAAAGTCAGAGTCACCCTGACAGTGATGTTTGGTCAAAAGGATCCTGCCCAGGCTTGTGGGTTTCACTTAGGCAGTCATCTTCCCGAGGTAAGGGAGTTAACTGACTCTAGGTCCAGCTTCCACCCTTGCCAAACTAGTTTGGAATTTCGGGGTTACATTTTGTCTCGACTAATGAGTCTATGCAAAATCAAAATCGCTCATTGAACTAGACTTCCTGTTCGTAAACAACATAGATTTCAATGTGCAGTGTTCGGTCGACTTCAGGATTTGCAAAGCATGTGTACCGCCAACTGGGCGTCAACAGATATTTGCAAATCTTTTCATGTTTTTAATCACGTGCTCACAGAGTAAGACCCCTTTCATTACAAGATAGATCTTGATTATCGATCAGATCGTCTTGACTGGGCGTCGCCATTTTGTTTGAAACAAATGCAAGTGATATGAGAGACTGAATCTGATTGGTCAATAAGAAGGACACAGAAGGGACATAAATCATTATAGCCACTGGTGTCGCTACGATAAACCCTTGAAATTCCAGCCTAGTTCTATTAGGGTGGAAACTGGACTTTTCCAGTCAGTTAATTCCCTTTCCTCAGGAAGATGTGAAGCAGGAGACATCTACGACCTACATTATCTCTCACCCAAAGATGGTGCAGACACTCTGTTGTAGTGGTGTTAAACTGATCTTACTCACTGGTAGGTACTTCATCTTAACCTGCACTTGTACATAGACCGCCTCCATGGTTTAGCGGATAGAGTATCTGTATGAAGAAGGTCTGTGACTACCCTGCCTGGCACTCAGCATCAAGGAGGTAGAACAAGGATTTGGTGAGCTCATAGTTCAGTGGGCTAGCACCACATGGCATAGGCACAGACAGACAGACAGACAGAGACAGACAGAATTGAAACATCAACTCACTTGCTTCTTTTAACATTGCTGCTGTTGCGGGATCCTTAGCAAGGTCAAATGGCAGCTTCCTCTCGTTGTTGGGGATGTCTGCTCTTGCACCTGCAGCAACAGCCAATGTCAGTGATACAGTCTCTACTTGCAGGGTAGCAAGGTGGGCACACAACTGTGCAGGACTTATGATGAATGTAGTGTTACTATGGATAATGAGTGAAATGTGGCAGGTGCTCTCTCTGTTTGAGAACTTTGAGGTTAACCAAGCATAGTGGCCATAACACTTTTGAGTCCCGTGATGGGATTCGAACCCATACCTTCTGATCCGAGGTCGGACACCTTGTCCACATGACCAAAGAGGTTAACACAGTCAGCAAGCTGACAAGGTAAGGATGTCATCTGTGGGATGACTCCACACCCTCCTACACAGGCAATTCACAAGTGGATGTGTGAAATGTAAAATGAAAAGCTTTGTCTTAAAGCTTATCCCCATATCTACTATCTCCACCTAACAATATTACCCTTCTCAGCTTTTATCTAACAAAATATTGACAGTTTATTCCAAACCTTTATCTTACAACATCTTGTCAGGTTATTCCCTTCCTTTAGCTAACAACATCTAAACAATATTCTCTACCTTTATCTAACAATATCTTGACAATGTTCCCTACCTTTAGCTATCAACATCTTGACAGCCTCTGAGTGGTTCTTCCATGCTGCAGAATGAAGTGGTGTGTCTCCCAGCTTGTTCTAAATAGAAATACACATTCGATTTTTTAATATATATATTCTTTAAATTATTAACATTTATTACTACTCATAGACATATCATACAGGGAATATGGCTTGATGTACCCTGTACCCTGTGTGTGTACCCTGTGTGTGTACCCTGTGTGTGTACCCCGAGCCAAGAGTAGAACACAGCTTGATGTACTGTCTGTGTGGCCGTGTACCTCGTACCATCTATGAGGCTGTGTACCTCGTACCATCTATGAGGCTGTGTACCTCGTACCATCTATGAGGCTGTGTACCTCGTACCATCTATGAGGCTGTGTACTTCGTACCATCCATGAGGCCGTGTACCTCGTACCATCTATGAGGCTGTGTACTTTGTACCATGTATGAGGCTGTGTACCTTGTACCATCTATGAGGCTGTGTACCTTGTACCATCCATTAGGCCGTGTACCTTGTACCATCCATTAGGCCAGTACCTCGTACCATCTATGAGGCTGTGTACCTCGTACCATCTATGAGGCTGTGTACCTTGTACCATTTATGAGGCTGTGTACCCTGAGGCGATAGTGACAAGCCAAAGGATAAGCCTACCCGGTGCCGTCAATTGAACTTTCCGTCATGTTTATCATTGACCACAATTTCAAAACAAATGACGATTGAGATCTGAAGTGTTTCTTGCTACATTGCCAGTTAAGCAATGCATCAAGTACGCCTAAAATCAATATTAACACACGCAAGGAGTTCATATTGCATAGATTACAGAGATCAGGTAAATGTCTGTTGCTATGATGGTAGGTATATGTTTTCCAGTTGTATACCACTGTACCAAAAAACTATCAAGATGCCATTGACCAATAAAATTCAAGTATTTTAAATGTAGTTTCAGCTTACTTGTCCTCGTTTTATATGCTTACATTTTTTTAAGTCAAATCATGTTTCAGCCTAAAAGAGATCTGAGATCAGAACACTTTAACAAACTGGTTGGACCACCATTGTTTCAGAGTCATAAGTCAAGTGGACAAAACAACATTATCATAAAATGACGCTTCGCCAGAATAACATAAAATGACATTTGCCCGCAAAAAAGTCAAACCAAAGTTAAACAACGTCATTGAAACAACACGGAACAACCTTCAAACAACGCGCATGTACCTCTCCAAGCACCTACCTGCACATTGACCTGGCAGCTGCCGGCAGAGAGCAGCTTCTCTAAACAAGGTATGTGTCCCCCATGGGACGCCCAGTGTAGGGGTGTTGATCCAGCCTTGTCCAAGCTGTTCACAGACACCTACCACAGACAACAAGCATGAAATACTCGTATCCCCCGCCAATATGACATGGCGGGTTGTGCGCAAGGCAAGAAATATTGTTTGGTTTTCAAGACCTACGCCGGAAACGAGTACTACTGCCATTTTCAGTCTCAAAGTTGTTGGTATGAAATCTCGAAAAAATAAATTTTAAAAAAATCCCAAACTATCAAAAGGTACCAGTTTACCACTAGACCTATCTATGTGCCAAGTTTGGTGAAGATATCTCTCACGGTTCGTGAGTTCTGCTCCAGAAATGAAACATGAGGGACGGACGGACAGGTGGAAGGACAGAAGTACAGTACTTGGTGGGGGATAATAATCTCATATAACCCTTAACATCAAGTGGCCAGGGGGAGGTTCACAGGAGATTGGCTATGGTGCTGACAAACCAAGAAACATGATCATTCAGGGTGTTTCTAGGTTTCAAACCGATGAAAATCGTACTTTTCGTTTTATTCAAGGAAATTAAACTCAACTCAATGTGACAAATTTCTAAATGTTCTTTTTACATGTTGGCATACCACTTGCCCCAATGACAAAGCCAACCCGAATGATTAGTAGTGGCCTGGCCAGAGTACAATGAATTTCCATAATACAATTGACTTGTTTTACATTCTAAATTCAATTTTGGAAACAAACATATGAAATTAGGAACACTTACCCTATTACCAATACACTCGACCATGAAGTCAATGTTCCCTCGCTTGGCGGCCTCATGGAGGGGGTGATCTATAGACTCTGTGTTGTCTTCAACTGAGGAAAGCAGTGGGGCAATAGATGAATACCTAGACTGACCAGGTCTTTACGAGTCACATCATGCAGGAAGCATCACTAGCCCACAATGACTACATGAAGGTCAAGTAGTTGAAAATGTACACTTCGGCCTTAAGAGAAATATGTGTGTTTCCACTTGGTATTATCCATATTTTATGTCACTGGCATAACTCTGTTGTGCTTCAGTATAAATAAACGGTCAGTATCTTCATTTGAAAGCAGGGTTTTTCTGACATCCTGCAAATAGCCATTTTTAAAAGAAAACAAAGGAAACGATAATCAGACCTAACCAATTTTTGAATGGGCTTAAATAGAAGCACAGATTCTATTTTTTCCTTATTGTTATCATTTGTTTATCCTCCAATACTCATGATACTACTGATGCAGTGTTTGCAGCTGTCGATGTACCAGTATATTGTCAGACAGATTGTACAACACATCAACATTTTAAAAAAACATTTTAAGGAACTGACCATAGTTGCTTGGTATGAGTCCGACCTTGCTTCCACACTTGGCCCTCCACCAATTGGTGTCCGTCTTGTCAAGGATGTACAGCAAGTCTCCCTCATCAAACGTGAGTTCATCATTCTGCAGCGAAGTGCATGTCCCTTTCATACTTTGTCGGATATTTAGTTATTTTTGTTTGTTTGTTGCTTATCACTGCCTTCAGCTATATTTCAGCTATATCATGGCAGTCTGTAAATAATTGAGTCTGGATCAGACAATCAAGTGTTTGACATCATCAGCATCGATCTACACAATTGTGATACAAGATTCATTAACCAAATCAGCGAGTCTGACCACCTGATTCCGTTAGACAAGCATAGGTTGAAGATCAATTCTGACCTGGATCATCTGACATTCAGAGGTGTCAGTTACCTGTACATGTGCTCGGATGTTTCCGTTTATAGATCCAGTGAGGTGAAGGAAAGCTTGCATAGCATATAACAATATCAGGATGAGCATGACGAAACAAAGTAGACACAATTTATGGATAACAACTTCTTTAATTCTGTAAGGCGACGTTTTGGTATAGATCCTAATACCATTGTATCCTTGACAATGGTATAAGGATCTATACCGAAACATCGCCTATACAGTATTAAAGAAGTTGTTATCCATAAATTGTGTCTACTTTGTCATCTGTCAACTTCTATGTAATGCCTATCAAACAATTCATGACGAAACAACTGTTTTACTTCATAACATTTACAAATCCTCAGTTGTATAACAGGTAAAGTGGAGCTCCCCAGATATACTATGATGTGAGGCTGGGTCCAGTCTCATAATTAGGAGATAAACATACTGTGTTTTCAATGTAGAGCTAGGTTACCTGTACATTTAACCGCGCTAAATTGAATTTGGAACCGATCCCGCAGCGTGAGGTTTCAAATGTTAAATTTAGCGAGGTTAAATCTTCAGGTAACCTAGCTCTACATTGAAAACTACCATGACTAAATAAAACGCGAACTCTTTGGTGTTAGCAAATATACTGAGTGAAGTTAAGGGTTAAGTTCAGTGTTTTGAGTGGGTTAGCGATCTGAATGACGGAATCGCCGAACAAAATATGATGCTGTATATACTCTAGCAGTTTGTTTAAACCGTAATACTTCACTCGAACATATGACAAGGCATTGAAAGCATATAAGCACGGCAACTTGGTAAGCTAACATGAGGTGGGCATCCCTAAAGAAAACAAAGCAAGCTTTGCAAGGCTTTCGCACCACATTGCACGTCACCATTATGACGTCATATCGCTCATTGTGACGCAAAAGATATGACATCACAGTTGTATATCGAAAAGCGCCAAAATTCTAAGCTCTCTGTTGTCTCCAAAATGTAAATACATTCTCTTTGTTGATTTCTGTTGTGTTTTTCTGCATGAAATGTATTGCCACACATCCTTTGAATATTGTAGTAACCACATCTGTGCATTTTGTAACCTGTAATTGTAGATATAATTATTTAAATATGCCTACCGACAATGACTGAAAATAGTACTATTCTATGAATATTAGCTTCCGCGGTGATGCGGCCGTCAAACCAGCTGTTATTTAATAGCCTCTGATTGACCAATCAGAATCGAGTAAATTCCAAATTCATGGTAGAATGCTGTATCATACCAACCTGTTGTGCGTCATATCTGTACATTGCACGAACAACTTTAACCTGACCTGAAACATCATAAAAACAGAGGTATCAAATCACTATAACATACTCCTGATTCAAGCTGTGGTTGTTAGCTTTCCTTAAATGCCTGTAGCAATACCTTTTGGCTGGATGGCTAAATTCTTCACTTTAAAAGTGATTACATGTATCCTGCATGTTCTATGTTATCATTAATGCTTCTCAGGTTTGGTGTCACATGAAGTTCACCTGCGGCCCTTGGTGTAAACCTAACGCAGGACACATAAAGCTCACCTCTGGCTCTTGGTGTAAACCTAACGCAGGACACATAAAGCTCACCTCCAGCTCTTGGTGTAAACCTAACGCAGGACACATGAAGTTCACCTCCAGCTCTTGGTGTAAACCTAACGCAGGACACATGAAGTTCGCCTCCAGCTCTTGGTGTAAACCTAACGCAGGACACATAAAGCTCACCTCCAGCTCTTGGTGTAAACCTAACGCAGGACACATGAAGCTCACCTCCAGCTCTTGGTGTAAACCTAACGCAGGACACATGAAGCTCACCTCCAGCTCTTGGTGTAAACCTAACGCAGGACACATAAAGCTCACCTCCGGCTCTTGGTGTAAACCTAACGCAGGACACATAAAGCTCACCTCAAGCTCTTGGTGTAAACCTAACGCAGGACACATGAAGTTCACCTCCAGCTCTTGGTGTAAACCTAACGCAGGACACATGAAGTTCGCCTCCAGCTCTTGGTGTAAACCTAACGCAGGACACATAAAGCTCACCTCCGGCTCTTGGTGTAAACCTAACGCAGGACACATAAAGCTCACCTCAAGCTCTTGGTGTAAACCTAACGCAGGACACATGAAGCTCACCTCCAGCTCTTGGTGTAAACCTAACGCAGGACACATGAAGCTCACCTCAAGCTCTTGGTGTAAACCTAACGCAGGACACATGAAGCTCACCTCCAGCTCTTGGTGTAAACCTAACGCAGGACACATAAAGCTCACCTCCGGCTCTTGGTGTAAACCTAACGCAGGACACATAAAGCTCACCTCAAGCTCTTGGTGTAAACCTAACGCAGGACACATGAAGTTCACCTCCAGCTCTTGGTGTAAACCTAACGCAGGACACATGAAGTTCGCCTCCAGCTCTTGGTGTAAACCTAACGCAGGACACATAAAGCTCACCTCCGGCTCTTGGTGTAAACCTAACGCAGGACACATAAAGCTCACCTCAAGCTCTTGGTGTAAACCTAACGCAGGACACATGAAGTTCACCTCCAGCTCTTGGTGTAAAGCTAACGCGGGACACATAAAGCTCACCTCTGGCTCGTGGCATAAAGCTAACTCGGGACACATAAAGCTCACCTCTGGCTCGTGGCATAAACCTAACGCGGGATGCATAAAACCCCACGCACCCCTCGTGATCCTGCTACAACTCATAATGTATCTCATGCAACATGTGCCCCGCATTGAAGGCCTCTGCTGTATACATTGCTTCAATATCAGGCCACGGGATGGTTCTCACAAAGTTTATGCACGTAGGGCTCATTCAGTTTTCTTAATCTAGACACACTACACAGCAAAGCAGTAATATGATGAAAACAATGTATTTCCTGTAACAAATGTTACATTTGGGATGACACTTTCTGAGTAAAGTACAGATTTGAATTCACACTTCCAGGGTGAGGCACCTAATCGCAGCTCACAAAGTCAGCGATCTAACCCAGGCAGCCACCAAAGCTTCCACAAATTGGCACGGCACCCATGGCCGTAAGCTATGAATAAACAATGAAAGTGTTATCCCACATATAACATTTGTTCCGCTTGACCACTTCCTAAATGGCATTGTTTATTCATAGCTTACGGCCATGGGTGCAGTGCCAATTTGTGGAAGCCTCGGTGGCTGAGTGGGCTAGATCGCTGACTTTGTGTGCTGCGATTAGGTGCCTCACCCTGGAAGTGTGGGTTCCTGGATGGGACTCAACCCAAAAAGTACTAGAATATGTGCTTTTTACAAAGAAAGTGTTATCCCAAATATAATAGTTGTTACATTTGACCACTTTCTAAATGACATTGTGTATTCATAGTATTTCCTGTGTTTAGGGACCACTTCAAAAGTTTGATGTCAGATATAAAACATAATTCCTTAAGTTTTGAGACATACCCGTCTAACCCAGTAAAGAATTCTGAAAAAAATTCTGAAAATGTTGAATTTCCAAGTCTACAGGTCTCTCTTGTCACTCATTCTCGTGTTTTGCCTGCCTTTTTTTCAGAACATTATCAGTCAGCTAAGACCCATGTTGACATGCGGTGCGGCACATCAGCTCGTGAGATCACTTATCCTATCCAGGTTGGACTATGCTAACAGTCTGCTTATTAATATCAAACAGGATCTATGTAGCAAATTGCAACGTGTGCAGAATGCTGCTGCCAGATTGATATGTAGACGAAATAAGCGTGCACATGCCGCTCTTTTATTAAAATCATTACACTGGCTTCCAATAAGATCTAGGATTGAATACAAAGTCGTGTGCATTGCATACCAGTGCTACTATAGTAGAGCACCTTCCTATCTGAGGGAACTTCTTATCCTACACCAGCCAGCACGAGATCTCAGATCAGCACATATAGTTTAGTGTCCCTATAGTCTCACTCAAAGCATTCGGCAACAGAACTTTTGCTCACACTGCATCTGTGCTCTGGAATTCCCTTCCAGTGGAAATTAGGCAATCTCCAACTCTGGACACTTTCAAGACAAAACTAAAGACTTATATCTTTAGATGTGTCTATGACCCTGTGTGAGGCGCTATGAGCGACTACGTAGACGGAAATGGCGCTGAAGAAATGGACTTTATTATTATTATTATTATTTATTAAATAAAGTATATTTTTTGGGTGATGACAATCATTTGTAGGGTTTTTAGAGATCAAATCTGTCATCAAATACCACGCACTGCACGAGATGGACTTACCACTGTTGTTGTGGAAGGACTGGATGTATTTAATGACAACTCCTGACAGTATATGAGTGAAAATAGGATCGGCTTGGTTCAGTTACTATATAAAACATTGAGAAATAAGGTCATTTGATTTTGTCTGATGGAAAACTTGCAGGGCCATTAACCCCCACGGCTCCCCACCCCCACCCCTAAACTTAAGGAATTAAGATTTTTTATTTGAGAAAACTCTTTATTTAACACTGTGCAACTGTGTATTTTGCAGACAACAGGCTTTATTTAACACTGTGCAACTGTGTATTTAGCACAGACAACAGGCTTTATTTAACACTGTGCAACAGTGCATATTGCACTTACAACAGGCTTCATTTAACAGTGTCCATCTGTGTAAATAATTTGAAACTTTTCACAAATGAATAAAAAGGTACAACAGGTTTGAGAAACCAAGATGATGGCCCCCTTGAAAACACCAGTGGAATCCTTATTCATACATTTTAGAAACATCTTATGATTTACAGCCAATCAGAGGTATAAGGAACATGGGCTCTACCCTCGTGTCCCACCCTCGTGCCAAACACCGGTGACTCAACAACCTGGCCACAACCATAGTCTATCTCATCATGCTCATGATATCCCAAGAATTGAAGGTGCTTAGTAATAGGGTGTAATACAAAATATATCAGCTGAACCATTTGGTAATATGTTCAACAATAATAATCAAACACAAATTCTTATACAAATTAATTACATTAATTTAATCTGTCGTATGGTAAGTGCACACTTTTCCAAAGCTGTACCCAACTTTAGTGTATAGTATAATTAGCTTCTTTCAGTGGCATTTAGAAGTTGGTGTGATGAAGAAAGACAAGTTCTATGGATGAACAACTTCTTTATTACAATTAGTGCGACGTTTCGGTGTAGATCCTAACACCTTTATCAAGCAAGAAGTATAATTAGGATTGACACTGAACACTCAATATTTGGATATCAACAGGTGAACACTATCAAATTGGCGAATTCGCAGGCAAATAAATAAACATCAAATTATATTTTTCCTTCAGACCTGTCGTGTGATAGTCAGTTATCAATTTGCAACATCTGAAAATATTTCACCCAAATACATTCGATGACTGCAGATAAACTGTGCACCCGTAAACTCAGGAATCGAAAACCAGGAAGTTAAAGCCACCGAGGTGTTCGATATTTTGTGATTACGCTTCTTCGGGGTGAAAAGTTCACATATAACAGAAACGCCCTTGTCGATATGGCCATTCGAACCTTACCTGGCTTTGGCACCGGCGGGGGAGGCCGAGTCGGGCGAGGGGCGCTGGACATCTTTGAGGGAGTTGCTCGCTCTGACAACTCCCGTAAACAGGAAGGAAAGGCAACAGGTTTAAGACATGCGCAGTGGGGGGAGAGGTGATAAATCATAACGCGGGAAATTTTAAATAAATCATAATTCGTATTGTATATTCTATATTTGTCAGTGTAAAGCTGGTATAGGTGTATGCTAGTATATGCATGGGGATGGGTTTTGCTGCGATTACCGTATACCGTATTTCCTGGATAAATACCGGGTCTCGATCGATACGTCTGAGCTCCATAAAAACGCCGGGTAGTGTTTATGCAGTGAATGAAAAAGTGCGAGTTTCATAACCCACACCCTATTGTATTTCGACTAATGTAGGCCCTATGTGTTCAACGCATTGTCCCCGCAAAACAGAAGCATTTTAGAGAACTACGACACTGACAGGGGTCTGAGCGAATAATTAGTCTGAAATTGTTATTATTAACCATGTTAACGCTTGGCCTTGATTAAGGCCAGGGGTAAAGAGTGTATAAAAGGAATAGACACCCGTGCGTTTAATCGAGGAAATACGGTAGCGGCGTAGATAACAGCAGATAATACACGACCAAACCAGACTTGGTGGACTACGTGTCATTGTACTCTGACGGCGTGGAACTTTGTCCATAATATCAATCACTGGATTGCCTGGCCCATATACTCATTTATTTACAGACCGACGTAATATATGTGGAATATTGATGTGTGGCATTAAACAACAAAGAAACACATATACATTCCCAATTGTTTTAATAACTGAACTGTTCACAGATATTGACTATAAGACGTATGTAAAGTACCACTTCCTCACACGAATACAAATAGGCACTAGCCTGTTAAGACCGAGTCGGTTTGTCTCATGTTTGTTTGTGTTATTTAACCCCGCACTCAGCAATATTCGAGCTATATGACGGCGGTCTGTAAATAATCGAGTCAGGACCACACACTCCAGTGATTGACATCATGAGCGAAAATGTTCAGGAGTTACCCCAAAAGTGATGGTTTATGGTGAATGTGGACGAGTCCCTTTGTGTATAGAAGCACGTCTGAAAATAATAAAATATTGGATAAGACTACTAAATATGCCCTCATCAAGATTCCCTAAAAAATGTTACAAAATGATGTGTTTGTATGATAGCAATGGCAAAACAAATTGGGTTACCGACTTAAGGAACCTGCTGAATAATTGTGGTTTTGGTTACATTTTTCAATTAGAACATATTGCTTTTCCGAAGTTGTTCATAAATGCTATAACACAAAGATTAAAAGATTTATATTTTCAGTCATGGAATGCAACTCTAACGCGTTGACCAAAGTCCCTGTTATATAGCAGTTTCAAGTCATATATCATTGAAGAGCAATACCTTTTCAGTGTTAGTCTAAGAAAATTTAGCACTCGCAAGATTCCGATGTTCATCACTCGATGTTTTAATTGAAAAAGGTAGATATCAAACTATTCCGAGAGAAAATAGACTAGGATTAATTGAGGACGAGTATCACTTTTTACTAGTATGCCTGCATTATGATAAATTAAGAAAAGTATATTTACCAAAATATTTTCATGTAAACCATTGTACATTTAAGTTTAAACTTTTAATGACCACTAGCAACATTGAAAGCATAAGAAATCTTTCTATGTTCATATATCATGCTTTTATAAAAGAAAATCAAGTTTGGGAATTATATGATTGTACCAATTGCTCCTGTAATCATGATTGTACTATAGGCCTGTTGCCTCCTCAGTACGTTGAATAAAGAAATTGAAATTGACATCATGAGCATCCATCTGCGCAGTTGGGATACGATGACATGCATCAACCAAGTCAGCGAGCCTGACCACCCATCCCGATAGCATACAACAAGCATCGTCACTTCTTACGGCAAGCATAGTCGCATCTTACAACAAGCATGGGTTGCTGAGACCTATTATAACTCGGATCTTCACGGGTCAAGTCGCGTGGTTCGAGTTGTCCTCCGCATCCTACGCTGGTGGTGAGAGGCGACTGGTCAGGCTCGGTCGCTTGGTTGATTTCGTGTAACGGTACCCCGACGGTTGACCGTTGCTCAAAATATGAATCACTGGACTGTCTGGTTCAGACTCGATTGTTAATAGGCCGCCGTCATATAGATGGAATATTACTGAGTGCGGCGTTAAACAACAAACAAACAAACAAACAAGCGGAACTTAGAAGCTTCGGGATGTGACTTCATTGTTTTGCCTCTTATTATCAGAAACTGTCGGGAAGTATACTTAACAAATATCAGGAAGTATATTTCCTTGTATTACCCGAGTGTTGTGTCACGGACACATGCAACGATGTGCTTGTTGATGGAATCCCGCAGCCACCCAGACAGTAGGACACAGGGTATGTACCTATATAAACCCAGATAACTTATATGTATCTTTCCATGAAAATAATTATGCCAGGCAGGTGTATACATATGTTCACACGTGGGAGGGATGTGAAGTGGGTCAGTGGTGCACTCGTTACTATCACACCGAATAATTATACTGACACATTCTCTTCAGAAACCTTCACCTGATGAAGGAGTAAGCATATACTCCGAAACGTTGTGTTCCTCATAATAAAGAAGTTCTATAATATATATATATTCTCTTCGTTGTGTGAATCACATCTAAATGCCTTTCAAAGACCTATATTCATTTATTCAATCATTCCTTGAATGACTATGCATCTTATGTATTCAAGCAGATTGAAAGTCTCAATGGATTGAAATTATATCATGAAAATGCTATTCGAAAAAATGAAAGACAATATTAAAATGAAATCAAAGATTTCGGTTTCATTTTAAGACATTTATAAATAATTGTAGTTGGTCATGTAAAATGATTTATTTAAAATCAGAAAACTTGCTTGTACTTGTTATTTTAGTTTCTGTCTTTATTGCAAAATTATACTTGTATGTGTCATTCTAAACCCTGGCCTTGTCACTGAACTGTACCAGGAAACAGGAAAAAAACTAGACGTTCTAATTACCATGAGTGTGAAACATGGAGTATTTGTGGGGAGGAGAAAGTAATAGCTGTACCTGAAGTACGCATGCGCAACAAAATATCAACATCGCCCGTATTCCGGTTGTGCCATTCGAATGTTTACATTGTCATGTTTCATACTGACATTTAAACCTGGATTCACTGAGAAGATGAGCTTCACAATAGGCGGTTGAAATACTCTCATACACACCATCAGTTGAACATGTTCGGCTGCTGTGCCTCCCAGGTGAGTGAACGGCCCCAGAGAGGTCGAAAAACGTAAAAATGTCGGCATGACAGAAAACAGCTGATTGTTGGCTACATTGCTATACTCTTGATTTTACCTGGTAATATTCCACTGTACAATTGGCTAGAGCGCTGTCTGCGGGACATAGCTGTCTGTCATCTCGCTAACTGACACACGCTTCACTGAATTAGTGTAGAAACGACATGTATCGTTTTATTTTGGTGGCAACAAGCGGGTACTGCCAGTGTTGATTGTCACTGTATAAAGGTAGCAGTAGGCCTACAGCCAATATGTGCCGAAGTGCTTCACTCATTTTTTCAGTTATTACATACTTGTCAGGGATCAGTATTCTTGTAAATTACATGACACATATGCTTGAGGAAACTTTAGAATAATAAGGGAAATAGAGCTTTTATCATGATCTGACGTATTAGGTTTCAATTCAAGTTTTATACAAGTTAAATATCAAACACTCACGTTGGTTGGTTGGTATGTTGTTTATTGCGCACACAGCAATATTCCAGCTATATGACGGCGGTCTGTAAATAATCGAGTCTGAACCAGACAATCCAGTGATTGATATCATGAGCATCGATCAACGCAATTGGGATAGATGACATGTATCAACCAAGTCAGCAAGCCTGACCAACTGATCCCGTTAGTCACCTTTTACGACAAGCATAGTCACCTTTTAATGCAAGTATGAGTTGCTGAAGACCTATTCTACCCCGGAATCTTCACGGGTCCAAACACTCACGTAGTAAGCATGGTGAAGTGTATATTGTTGCAAGAAAACCTTGCTTATCCCTGACTTTAAGACAGATCGTGTCGGACACATATCTAGTAATGCTGTATATGAGGCTAATACAGCGAGTACCTGTGCATAAAGCTGCAATTTAATATCAAAGCTATATGTCCTGCTCCACTTTTTCTATTTGTCTTTTAGTACTGGCACTGATATGGTGATACAGGTATCCTCAATCGCTACACATCCCTCCTGTAGTAACATTCTTTTAGACCGATGCTGATGTTGCACTATGCATCACAAGCTCGTCAGACTGCTCATGATTAGACTTAAACCACATTATACAGTATCAGGAAATGTACGTCCTAGTTCCTGAACCGTTTATCTATTAGCTGATAAGTAGTATTAAGTACACCATATATTTTGATTGAAAATATACATATTCCAAAGTTTTGAACCAGAAACAATGATTAAAACTTCCAATTCACTCACTCACCCAGCTAAATGATTACAGCAGTTGATGCCAGGCCCACGTTCCACAAAACGATCTTAGCTCTAAGTCAATTATTACTACCATACTTAAACAAATGCAAAATACAATTGTTGCGCTAAGATCGCTCTGTGGAACGGGTCACAGCGGGCAGATGATGGAATATGACATGGGGCATTGACAACAACAAATGTGCACTATCTGCAGTTTAGTTGCAAAGTAAGAATTCATCTGTTTGTGCAGACTGAACTGAATTTCATTGTTGCAAAAATAGGACACATATTTCAAGTATGATAAAGCTAGGAAGGTTGTTCATTGACCATGTTGACATTTACTTTGACAGTTTTTTATGATTATATTTCCATCCAAAAAGGTTCACATTAATCAATGAAAATATGGGGTGTGAAATAGCATATATATCATGTATATATTTATCATTGAGGCCAAAAAATAGCAAGTCTGTCCTCATGTACTGACCAATCAGCATTAAGATATGTATGTCATTGGTATATCATAGTATATATAGGCATCTTTATTTCCCCTGTCCTTCCAGATAGGCTAGGCTCTCGGTAGACTCTTTTGCATAATATAACAGTTTAGATTACACGATTTAAACATGACCAGTAAGCATACAGTGATTTGATCATGTTGATAACTCTTCCTTACCAGAACAAAATACAACTGCAGCTGTAACACAATCATGATAATCATGATGATATGTATTTTGCTGAGACTTTGTTTTTTTCTTCTTCATTATAATGTAATCATGGTTATTAACCTGAAGACCATGGTGCCAATGACGATGATAATGAACAAGCACCACTATAGCTGTTGTTTACGTCATGCTCCCTGCCTTGTCCCAATGTAGTTAACTAATCACTTTCATTATCATAATTATTGCATTAGGAATGTTAGCATGGTAAGTATAAGCAGATATTGTTCTTGTGCTATGGGGCCAAGCCTTGAGGACTACTAAGTGTAAGTTATTTTTAGCACATGCATTTAATCTAAAACTCAGGTTATCACAGTTGCGTGTTTTTGTCAGTAAGTTTAAACATCAGTGATAGTGACCATGGTGACTAGTCACGCTAGTAGCACAATTATGTTTCTTCATCATCTACTCGCTAGCAACATAGTATGGTCTAACTAATATACAAATGATATATACACTCTCTGCTGAATGACCTTGAAATGATATCATCCTCAGCAGAGGGGATATCCTATGACCACTCTGCACAAGCAATATATGCAGTGATATGATTCGTTGTAGTCATGATCAGTCGTGATGCAATGTACCATGTGTATCACAGAGCTCGAGATAAGCTAAGTATTTGCTTAAAATACACATAAATAAACTGAAATATGCAGACAAATTAAATCCTAGTCTATCGCATAACAAATAATGTAAATACACCATTGAAATAAAATTAATGTGTATTTTACAACTGTTAGATAAAATGATTGTGTATCAGCCGATCGCAAAATTCACTTAGTGACAGTTACATTTGGAAAAGCTTATGCAACAAACATACTGATAGATGCCACTTGAAAAGCACAGTCAATGTACATGTTGTATCTTAAACAGCCGCGGATTGGTGATTAGACAAATAGTGCCTTTCTTACAATGCTAGGTATTGCAAACAAAAATGGATTCCTGGAGAGGGAGCTGCAAGTAGTCTACGCAGATGGGTAAACTACTGTTCATACTGTTTTATATGATTTACAGGGATTGTTACGAAACAGGTTTTCAAGTTAGAATACCCAAACGTCAAGAAACAGATGAGTATATATAACAAATTTGAATACCCCCTAAAATCTGTGGATATCCAAATAAAATACCAAATAACCAAAAGCTTATCTATAGCTCGGTCACCTAGCTGTATGATGTTACATGTAACATATGTCTAAGGTGCCGCAGCTCGCTGTTCAGAGTTGTGTCCCTTTGACACACCAGAAACCTAGGATCGTGGGTTTGAGTCACAGTTCGCCCCAACATGCCCGATGTTCACTCTGTTGTTCCTAGGTTTGTCAGCACCATCCCGTGCTCATGAGTTTTCAAGTGGTAAACGTGAAGACCTGCATCACTTGGGGCTTCTCTCCCACATAAGGCTGACATGCCGTGACATACATTGTAAGTGGAATCATGTTAAAAATGCTGACAATCCCAATTCAATCACTCACTCACATATAACACGATACATTTGATGGGTTTAGCTCCATGGGGATTCCGGATTAGAATTGGTCCCCAGTTACCTATGCCTGTTGTAAGAGACGACTTAATGTATCGGCTGGTCAAACTCTGTGATTTTATTGATTGCATGTCTTTGTACCCAGACAGTATTTGACATTGCTTGTAATACCAATCACTAGATTGTCTGGTCAACATATGCATGATATAGCTGGACTATGGCTTAATGTGGTGGTAACCTAGAGATCTAAGAGGTGTAAATCTTCCTGTGGTACCATGGTGATTATCTGGTCTTAGATATGCTTATAAATACTTCGTTCTTGTTGTTATTTAGGTGGCCTGCTGCTGTGGGCCGGCATCATGTGCTCTGTGTTCCAAATGTCTGCCCAGGATCAACGAGTCTACCGGGTCAAGGATCATGTACACCATTCTCTTTATACTGGTGTTTGTGGTGGCCTGCCTCATGCTGTCCCCACAGCTGGAGGAGGTCTTCAGAGAGAGGGTGAGTAGCATTCAGGTGACATTGTACCAGGTGTGGGTGGGGCATTGTACCAGGTGTGTGTGGGTGGGGCATTGTACCAGGTGTGTGTGGGTGGGGCATTGTACCAGGTGTGTGTGGGTGGGGCATTGTGCCAGGTGTGTGTGGGTGGGGCATTGTACCAGGTGTGTGTGGGTGGGACATTGTGCCAGGTGTGTGTGGGTGGGACATTGTGCCAGGTGTGTGGGGATGGGACAATGTACCAGGTGTGTGGGGGTTGGACATTATGCCAGGTGTGTGGGGGTGGGACATTGTACCAGGTTTGTGTGGGTGGGACATTGTGCCAGGTGTGTGTGGGTGGGACATTATGCCAGGTGTGTGTGGGTGGGACAATGTACCAGGTGTGTGTGGGTGGGGCATTGTGCCAGGTGTGTGTGGGTGGGACATTGTACCAGGTGTGTGTGGGTGGGACATTGTGCCAGGTGTGTGTGGGTGGGACATTATGCCAGGTGTGTGGGGGTGGGACATTATGCCAGGTGTGTGGGGATGGGACAATGTACCAGGTGTGTGTGGGTGGGACATTGTACCAGGTTTGTGTGGGTGGGGCATTGTGCCAGGTGTGTGTGGGTGGGACATTATGCCAGGTGTGTGTGGGTGGGACATTGTATCAGGTGTGTGTGGGTGGGACATTATGCCAGGTGTGTGTGGGTGGGGCATTGTACCAGGTGTGTGTGGGTGGGACATTGTACCAGGTGTGTGTGGATGGGACATTGTACCAGTTGTGTGGGGGTGGGACAATGTACCAGGTGTGTGTGGGTGGGACATTGTGCCAGGTGTGTGTGGGTGGGACATTATGCCAGTTGTGTGTGGGTGGGACAATGTACCAGGTGTGTGTGGGTGGGACATTGTGCCAGGTGTGTGTGGGTGGGACATTATGCCAGTTGTGTGTGGGTGGGACAATGTACCAGGTTTGTGTGGGTGGGACATTGTGCCAGGTGTGTGTGGGTGGGACATTATGCCAGGTGTGTGGGGGTGGGACATTATGCCAGGTGTGTGGGGGTGGGACATTATGCCAGGTGTGTGGGGGTGGGGCATTATGCCAGGTGTGTGTGGGTGGGACATTGTGCCAGGTGTGTGTGGGTGGGACATTATGCCAGGTGTGTGGGGGTGGGACATTGTGCCAGGTGTGTGTGGGTGGGACATTGTGCCAGGTGTGTGTGGGTGGGACATTATGCCAGTTGTGTGTGGGTGGGACAATGTACCAGGTTTGTGTGGGTGGGACATTGTGCCAGGTGTGTGTGGGTGGGACATTATGCCAGGTGTGTGGGGGTGGGACATTATGCCAGGTGTGTGGGGGTGGGACAATGTACCAGGTGTGTGTGGGTGGGACATTATGCCAGGTGTGTGTGGGTGGGACATTATGCCAGGTGTGTGTGGGTGGGACATTGTGCCAGGTGTGTGTGGGTGGGACATTGTGCCAGGTGTGTGTGGGTGGGGCATTGTGCCAGGTGTGTTTGGGTGGGACATTGTGCCAGGTGTGTGTGGGTGGCCACAACCATGCAACAATTTAAGATTATGGGTAGTTTGAAGTTAATCATCCACCATGATCACTGTAGTATTTTCCTATTTAACATGTTAACAGTTTAAGATTGTTCCATGATCATTTCATTGGGTGTGACTGAGTGACTGGTGTTTTCACCTGGGTCACTGTAATTCAAGACAATGTGTAGAGTTGGAAGTTAATCCCCTGCTATGAATGGAAGTGAGTTACTGTATTGATTATACTCCAGGCAGGTAAGAACAAGACAGATGAAACTGTGCCGCATGTGTACTTGAGACATGTTTTAGTTGGCTGTTTGCTGCTCCAATATTTGAGAGTTTGGACATTCTGCAGCCACGTTTGCAGTCTTACCTGTGATCCCTACCGAAGACTTTCTTCCCTTGATTCTGCCACGTTAAATCTATATCAAACAAAACACATTGGAGCACGGCATTTTCCATGTTGAGGGCTTTGTTGGCCATTACAGGTACCCCTTTATTTGCTCATTCAGGCTCGCTATAATTAGAGGCCTGTCATTTAATGGAGGCAACATGGGGAAGGCAAACTAAAAGCACTTGTTATGTTTGTGAGGAGGGTTGTGTTAAGAAATACACAATTAGGAGGACGGTCATGAAAAAAACGAACACTTATTTTAGGATTAAACATTAATCACAGCTGTAATTGTCCTGGCCTCAAAGTGATGTGACATTGTAGCAGACTGTGTCCTTTAGGAATGTCATAGAATATATATGGGCAAGCACACAGGAATGCAAAAAGTTGTGTTTTTTCTGCACTTGTGTATTATAATTCTTAGGCCCATTCCCTATTATTAATTACTAAACTTATATTGGCTTAGGTTGTAGTTAACTATAGTGCTGGAAAGAAACACAAAGACACACTGATCAAAGTCAGTGCAGTGAAATTATTGTTGAATTTTAAACCTGCTAGGTCATGTTATTATTAAATCTAAATTTGTTCACATTATTCATGAGGTGGATCAGTAGTCTACCATGAAACAGTGTGTAAAGATGTATCAGGTTTTTTCTGGAGTTTGAGCATGTTCAGACAATTATGCTGTGGCAGCCTGACATAAGTTGAATGTTCACCTGGTATGTTATAAAGTACTCACGGAAATGAAAAAACCTGTTTTTTCGATCTCAGATTTTAAATAAATGCAGTTAATATACAAAATATATAAATATTCAAACAACTCAATTAGTACTAATTGGGCCTTGGCACAAATACAGCGTATCAAAGGTTTTTATGTCTTTTTACGTGTGTAAAAATATGAACAAAACAGACTATTGTGAAACTGAGCATAACCAGGTGAATGTCCATGACCTATGACACCTTGACGACAGGTGAAAACAGGTGCTTGAAACCCACGTGCATGTGATTTGTCAGTGGTTAGTGATTTGTGAGTGGCATAGTGGGATAGTGAATCATCGTCAAAATATCAGAACGTAAAAGTAACATATTCCCTTCTCAAACAACAACTTACATGTCATTATTATTCTGTACATAAACATAGCTGTTTTTATTGTTGTTTTGATAACTTTTTCCAGGCTATTTTGCATAATGCCTATAGCCTGTTTCTGCCATGTCAATTTGGGCTTAATTTTATTTTTGAGTGTTGAAAGTGCCTACAAATTACCTCCTGTAAAGTACATTTTGTGTTGAGCACTGAGATAAAACTAGCAAATCCAGACTAGTACTTTTCCAGTTGTTTTGTTATTTCATATTTACATCTACGTAATGCTTTGTGTCGATTATTAAATCCAGCAAAACAGTGTTTTTTCATTTCCATGAGTACTTTAGCACTCAGTGCTCATGGCGTGATCATATATCTTGCTGAGTGTCAGTCAGCTCATCTGTGCTTTCCTGATTAACTGCCTTTCAGAGTAGCAATTCAATCTCTGCAACATGATAAAGGTTTAGAGTTATAGGGGCAGGTGGGGTAGGCTCGTGGTTAAGGTGTTTGCTCGTCATGCAGAAGACCCAGGTTTGATTCCCCATATGGGTACAATGTGTGATGCCCATTTCTGGTGTCCCCCATGGTGATATTGCAGGATATTCTTGGGGAATCGTGTTGTTCTTACTTAATTCTTACATGAATCGTTGTTGACATTCGTGGCTTTTTTCGGGTTGAGGACAAGACATTTTGAGAGCCACAAATCGCTAAGAATAGCCAGAATGCAAAAGAATCGATTACGAAGCTGTTACGGAACATGAGAATTAATTACAAATGGATTACGATACAGCCACGAAATTGCAATTCCGGGACTCTTCCATGAAAGTTCTTGACAAACAAAATCTTTCTCGCGAATGTTTGGGAATCAAATAAGATTCATTTAAGAACTTCAAGAAATGATTCAGATTTTTCTACAAACATGAAAGATTTCCTATTCAGGGTGATTCAGGATATTCGTGGTCATAGTGAAGTGGGGGCATAAGGATTATAATTTTTCCAGAAATAAGAGCAGCTATTTGAAATTTTGGGGAAGGGATGATGGAGATAACTGCTCAATAATTCAGCATGAGAGATGGTATAAAACTTAAAACATATGCAGGTAATTAATGCAGAATCACCATCCACAAGTAACATTAGGGATATGCAGAAAGTTTTTCGCATGGAATCTTTCTCAGATGTAACATATGTAACCATGGTAACAGTGGCCGATTAATAATTTATTGTGAGAATCCTGCAAGGTTGCTGCCTCAGCAGAACACATGTTTTGTCGTTTGTTTTCAGTAAAACAGGCTTCATTATATTTTAGAATCCCCCTCTTAAATCTAATGGTTTCTCCCTTATGATCAATATGTAGGATTTATGCAAATAATAAATATCTATTGACTGTGTGATCAACGATATTTACCACTATACTTTTCACTGACATGTTATTGCATTGAAAATAACTACAAAATCTATCAAACAACATGAGTGAGTGAGTATGGTTTTACGCCGCTTTTAGCAATATTCCAGCAATATCACAGCAGGGGACACCAGAAATGGGCTTCACACATTGTACCCATGTCGGGAATCGAACCCGGGTCTTTGACATGACGAGCGAACGCTTTAACCACTAGGCTACCCGACCGCCCCTCAAACAACATGAACAGTGTGTCCCCCAAAGAATGAAAACTGCAGACGAGTCAAGGTAAAACATTGATGTGACAATGCTAATGAATATTACCATGACGGCTTCGATTGTTGCTCACAATATCAATCACTCGATTGCCTGGTCTAAATTTTATTATTTACAGGATGCGATCATGGATGGAATATTGCTGAATTAACCAAAACACAAAACTCTATTTTTTAAAATATTTTTTTTCTTTCAGGTGCCGGGATTCAATGAGACATGTATCATGCTGAATGTGGGTCCGAACTGCAGCCGCCTGATAGGGTATAAGGCTGTATATCGCCTGTGTCTAGGCGTGGTCATATTCCACTTCCTGCTGATGTTGGTGACACCCTTTGTGCCGAGCAGCAACCACTGGCGGGCATCGGTACACAATGGGTAGGTCAGGCAGAGACTTAATACTATAAACAATGGGTAGGTCAGGCAGAGACTCAATACTATAAACAATGGGTAGGTCAGGCAGGGACTCAATACTATCAACAATGGGTAGGTCAGGCAGAGACTCAATACTATCAACAATGGGTAGGTCAGGCAGAAAGTCAATACTATAAACAATGGGTAGGTCAGGCAGAGACTCAATACTATAAACAATGGGTAGGTCAGGCAGAGACTCAATACTATAAACAATGGGTAGGTCAGGCAGAGACTCAATACTAACAACAATGGGTAGGTCAGGCAGAGACTCAAAAATTATCAACAATGGGTAGGTCAGGCAGAGACTCAATACTATAAACAATGGGTAGGTCAGGCAGAGACTCAATACTATAAACAATGGGTAGGTCAGGCAGAGACTCAATACTATAAACAATGGGTAGGTCAGGCAGAGACTCAATACTATAAACAATGGGTAGGTCAGGCAGAGACTCAATACTATAAACAATGGGTAGGTCAGGCAGGGACTCAATACTATAAACAATGGGTAGGTCAGGCAGAGACTCAATACTATAAACAATGGGTAGGTCAGGCAGAGACTCAATACTATAAACAATGGGTAGGTCAGGCAGGGACTCAATACTATCAACAATGGGTAGGTCAGGCAGAGACTCAATACTATAAACAATGGGTAGGTCAGGCAGAGACTCAATACTATAAACAATGGGTAGGTCAGGCAGAGACTCAATACTATAAACAATGGGTAGGTCAGGCAGAGACTCAATACTATAAACAATGGGTAGGTCAGGCAGAGACTCAATACTATAAACAATGGGTAGGTCAGGCAGAGACTCAATACTATAAACAATGGGTAGGTCAGGCAGGGACTCAATACTATAAACAATGGGTAGGTCAGGCAGAGACTCAATACTATAAACAATGGGTAGGTCAGGCAGAGACTCAATACTATAAACAATGGGTAGGCCAGGCAGAGACTCAATACTATCAACAATGGGTAGGTCAGGCAGAGACTCAATACTATAAACAATGGGTAGGTCAGGCAGAGACTCAATACTAACAACAATGGGTAGGTCAGGCAGAGACTCAATACTATAAACAATGGGTAGGTCAGGCAGAGACTCAATACTAACAACAATGGGTAGGTCAGGCAGAGACTCAATACTATAAACAATGGGTAGGTCAGGCAGAGACTCAATACTAACAACAATGGGTAGGTCAGGCAGAGACTCAATACTATAAACAATGGGTAGGCCAGGCAGAGACTCAATACTATCAACAATGGGTAGGTCAGGCAGAGACTCAATACTATAAACAATGGGTAGGTCAGGCAGAGACTCAATACTAACAACAATGGGTAGGTCAGGCAGAGACTCAATACTATAAACAATGGGTAGGTCAGGCAGAGACTCAATACTAACAACAATGGGTAGGTCAGGCAGAGACTCAATACTATAAACAATGGGTAGGTCAGGCAGAGACTCAATACTAACAACAATGGGTAGGTCAGGCAGAGACTCAATACTAACAACAATGGGTAGGTCAGGCAGAGACTCAATACTATAAACAATGGGTAGGTCAGGCAGAGACTCAATACTAACAACAATGGGTAGGTCAGGCAGAGACTCAATACTAACAACAATGGGTAGGTCAGGCAGAGACTCAATACTATAAACAATGGGTAGGTCAGGCAGAGACTCAATACTAACAACAATGGGTAGGTCAGGCAGAGACTCAATACTAACAACAATGGGTAGGTCAGGCAGAGACTCAATACTAACAACAATGGGTAGGTCAGGCAGAGACTCAATACTATAAACAATGGGTAGGTCAGGCAGAGACTCAATACTAACAACAATGGGTAGGTCAGGCAGAGACTCAATACTATAAACAATGGGTAGGTCAGGCAGAGACTCAATACTAACAACAATGGGTAGGTCAGGCAGAGACTCAATACTATAAACAATGGGTAGGTCAGGCAGAGACTCAATACTAACAACAATGGGTAGGTCAGGCAGAGACTCAATACTATAAACAATGGGTAGGTCAGGCAGAGACTCAATACTAACAACAATGGGTAGGTCAGGCAGAGACTCAATACTATAAACAATGGGTAGGTCAGGCAGAGACTCAATACTAACAACAATGGGTAGGTCAGGCAGAGACTCAATACTATAAACAATGGGTAGGTCAGGCAGAGACTCAATACTAACAACAATGGGTAGGTCAGGCAGAGACTCAATACTATAAACAATGGGTAGGTCAGGCAGAGACTCAATACTAACAACAATGGGTAGGTCAGGCAGAGACTCAATACTATAAACAATGGGTAGGTCAGGCAGAGACTCAATTCTAACAACAATGGGTAGGTCAGGCAGAGACTCAATACTATAAACAATGGGTAGGTCAGGCAGAGACTCAATACTAACAACAATGGGTAGGTCAGGCAGAGACTCAATACTATAAACAATGGGTAGGTCAGGCAGAGACTCAATACTAACAACAATGGGTAGGTCAGGCAGAGACTCAATACTATAAACAATGGGTAGGTCAGGCAGAGACTCAATACTAACAACAATGGGTAGGTCAGGCAGAGACTCAATACTAACAACAATGGGTAGGTCAGGCAGAGACTCAATACTATAAACAATGGGTAGGTCAGGCAGGGACTCAATACTAACAACAATGGGTAGGTCAGGCAGAGACTCAATACTATAAACAATGGGTAGGTCAGGCAGAGACTCAATACTAACAACAATGGGTAGGTCAGGCAGAGACTCAATACTATAAACAATGGGTAGGTCAGGCAGAGACTCAATACTATAAACAATGGGTAGGTCAGGCAGAGACTCAATACTATAAACAATGGGTAGGTCAGGCAGAGACTCAATACTAACAACAATGGGTAGGTCAGGCAGAGACTCAATACTATAAACAATGGGTAGGTCAGGCAGAGACTCAATACTAACAACAATGGGTAGGTCAGGCAGAGACTCAATACTATAAACAATGGGTAGGTCAGGCAGAGACTCAATACTAACAACAATGGGTAGGTCAGGCAGAGACTCAATACTATAAACAATGGGTAGGTCAGGCAGAGACTCAATACTAACAACAATGGGTAGGTCAGGCAGAGACTCAATACTATAAACAATGGGTAGGTCAGGCAGAGACTCAATACTAACAACAATGGGTAGGTCAGGCAGAGACTCAATACTAACAACAATGGGTAGGTCAGGCAGAGACTCAATACTATAAACAATGGGTAGGTCAGGCAGAGACTCAATACTAACAACAATGGGTAGGTCAGGCAGAGACTCAATACTATAAACAATGGGTAGGTCAGGCAGAGACTCAATACTAACAACAATGGGTAGGTCAGGCAGAGACTCAATACTATAAACAATGGGTAGGTCAGGCAGAGACTCAATACTATAAACAATGGGTAGGTCAGGCAGAGACTCAATACTAACAACAATGGGTAGGTCAGGCAGAGACTCAATACTATAAACAATGGGTAGGTCAGGCAGAGACTCAATACTAACAACAATGGGTAGGTCAGGCAGAGACTCAATACTATAAACAATGGGTAGGTCAGGCAGAGACTCAATACTATAAACAATGGGTAGGTCAGGCAGAGACTCAATACTATAAACAATGGGTAGGTCAGGCAGAGACTCAATACTAACAACAATGGGTAGGTCAGGCAGAGACTCAATACTATAAACAATGGGTAGGTCAGGCAGAGACTCAATACTAACAACAATGGGTAGGTCAGGCAGAGACTCAATACTATAAACAATGGGTAGGTCAGGCAGAGACTCAATACTATAAACAATGGGTAGGTCAGGCAGAGACTCAATACTATAAACAATGGGTAGGTCAGGCAGAGACTCAATACTAACAACAATGGGTAGGTCAGGCAGAGACTCAATACTATAAACAATGGGTAGGTCAGGCAGAGACTCAATACTAACAACAATGGGTAGGTCAGGCAGAGACTCAATACTATAAACAATGGGTAGGTCAGGCAGAGACTCAATACTATAAACAATGGGTAGGTCAGGCAGAGACTCAATACTATAAACAATGGGTAGGTCAGGCAGAGACTCAATACTATAAACAATGGGTAGGTCAGGCAGAGACTCAATACTAACAACAATGGGTAGGTCAGGCAGAGACTCAATACTATAAACAATGGGTAGGTCAGGCAGAGACTCAATACTAACAACAATGGGTAGGTCAGGCAGAGACTCAATACTATAAACAATGGGTAGGTCAGGCAGAGACTCAATACTAACAACAATGGGTAGGTCAGGCAGAGACTCAATACTATAAACAATGGGTAGGTCAGGCAGAGACTCAATACTATAAACAATGGGTAGGTCAGGCAGAGACTCAATACTATAAACAATGGGTAGGTCAGGCAGAGACTCAATACTATAAACAATGGGTAGGTCAGGCAGAGACTCAATACTAACAACAATGGGTAGGTCAGGCAGAGACTCAATACTATAAACAATGGGTAGGTCAGGCAGAGACTCAATACTAACAACAATGGGTAGGTCAGGCAGAGACTCAATACTATAAACAATGGGTAGGTCAGGCAGAGACTCAATACTATAAACAATGGGTAGGTCAGGCAGAGACTCAATACTATAAACAATGGGTAGGTCAGGCAGAGACTCAATACTAACAACAATGGGTAGGTCAGGCAGAGACTCAATACTATAAACAATGGGTAGGTCAGGCAGAGACTCAATACTAACAACAATGGGTAGGTCAGGCAGAGACTCAATACTATAAACAATGGGTAGGTCAGGCAGAGACTCAATACTATAAACAATGGGTAGGTCAGGCAGAGACTCAATACTATAAACAATGGGTAGGTCAGGCAGAGACTCAATACTAACAACAATGGGTAGGTCAGGCAGAGACTCAATACTATAAACAATGGGTAGGTCAGGCAGAGACTCAATACTAACAAC